TTATCCCGTGGTCGTACACAAGACCATGGTGTTTCACGTAAACGCAAACGAACGAGGTTATATGCATCTTATTACAAAGTTTCTTTCCTTCTGCGACGATAAAACTAGCCGGTATCATCGACAACGCGTATCACAGAAATACGTGTAAACTGTCGAGAAAGCATATCTAGCCAAATACGTTGTCTTTTTTAGAATATTTCATTCTTCGTTCGGAACTTTCGTCGCTGAATCACGCGACATCGTCGTTCGATGTATACATCCCCTGGCATATTGTGCTCTTGTCTCGGTTCCAAAAATTCGAAAATTAGCGTCGAATCCAACGATTAAGCGTAACGCAAAAGGTGGCCAGATATATTCTCTCTGCGAGCAAATAAGTAATCGAACGGAATTTGTCCGAGTCGTCGCTTATCGAACGTTCTTATCGATCCCAGCTATCGGTTACTTAAAAAGCAATTACCAATTTCCATCGTCGTTCATTACCACGCGAAACTGGCGGAAATATGTGTAAATACAAATGGAAACGGTCAATTGTGAATTTTATACTGGTTTTATTAATAACTGTACAACGTCTTCGAGGTTGCCAGTATTTCGATAGTGAATTCTCGCGCGCGATAGCGCCGATTAACGGTATCAATAGTAAAAAAAAACGATTATCGACGGAGGAGGAGCATATGCCATGGGGTCGTAAAGCGTACGATCTCGCAGATAGGCGCGCAAATCCCAGGAATAAAATGCGTATACACGACTGTCACGGTGTACGGGTTGCAAGGCAAACCAGCTGGTCCGGCCGCAAAAAATCGACAATCGACCCCGCGTTTCCGCGTGCAATCTCCGCACCGCGCACAACCTTACGCAACACACATGCGGAATATTCGGCACGTTCCGCCGACGCGCTCTTCCTGTCGCGCGATAAAAAGCAAAAAGGGCGAAAAAGAAAGCAAAGAGGAAGAAGGAAAATGCTCGGTTTCGACGAGAAACGAGCGAATACTTGGGGCGAGTGTTTTAGAAACGCGGAGGCTGGAATTATTCGAGCAAAGTGGACGAACGCACACTTCTAAGAAATTTCTGATTGGAATTTGAAAGGAGGTGTGGATGTCAAAGAGAGAAATAACTTGGGAAATTGTAAGTTCATCGCCAGTTGGTATCACCTGCGCATCGTTACAGTCAACCGTCAATATTTGCGTTCCGGTTATATATGCGAGGTCGTTATATATAAACTCGGCTCTACATACTACTATCTGGTTGTACGTAACAACAAAGAGGCTCTAGCTTATCGTTCGCGAAATTAGGTTGGCAGAGTACGTTCGAAGATTGATCCGGCGATTTTCAATGCAAACCAATTTCAATTCTAACAAGAGCGAAATTGTCGAAAGGAGAAGAAGAAAAGGAAATTGTTGAAAATTGCTGGATTTTTCTGTGTACAACTGTGTACAACTGTGTACAACTGTGTGCAACGAGGGCGGAATAACAATCGAGTAGATACATATAATTGCGCGTGTCAAACGTAAGAGGGAGAACAGGTTTTCCAAACGTGCAACAATCGTGCTCTAGATATGCCGATTATTATCATCTTTCCATCGAGAATCGTTATCGTGTTCATACGTTTCATCAAGGACGGCTCGTATGACAACGCCGTTCCAACTATATAATCGCGACGATAATTAGACCTGTAAACTTTCGTTCGCCGTTCTAATCGCGTCTCTGAAAAAGCCGTCAGTTCCCTTTGAAACGTATCCTACGGGAAGACCTTGGGACTCGGGATGCAACGAAATTTTCGCGACAATTATCCGCCACGTTAATCGAGGCGTTAATTTCCTTTCACACCGCCTCATGTTTCTACCAAGTGTATAAAATCCACTTTCGATGTAACGTAACTGATGGATCGGTCGTTGCGGTTCAGTGAAACGAAATTATCGAATTACCGGCTGAGCAGAATAAATTTATGGTATTTAACCCGGTTCGATCGATATTCACCGATATGTCTCAGACACGAGATAAAACGATTGATTTATACCACGGTGAGAACCGACTGAGGATAAACGAATTAACGAGCGGAGAAGGGGGAAGGTGGCTTAATTAATACGCGTTATCTCGCCTTCTGATCGAATTAGAAATTGGCTAATCGCCGCGATAACTCGTTTAGAGAGACACACGCGTGATATTTCTTCTGCATACAATCACGCTATCCTGTCGCTTCCTAGTTGCCTCGACTCGCCCTAATGAAAATTATGCGAAAAAGAAAAGGAAAAGGAGACGAAAAGAGACTTCAATGGACATTGATAAATAGTAAACTGAAACCTATGAATGTCCCTGTAGTTAGAGTGTTACTTCCCCTCTATAGCACTTCCTGCTTTATAAATAATCAACGAACTTCAGAACTTTGTTCGAAAGGAAAAACTCGTGGTTTCGTTTAAAACGAGGAATGATAAATCGGCGACCTTGAAGGCTCGGGGAAAATATAAGCGTAACTTCTCAGAAATGACGAACATAACCTCAGATACCCCGGGCGGTATAATGAGCAGAGAGAGAAAGAGAGGGAGAAGAAAAGTTAGCTGCTCGAAACGGTCTAGTTCACGTTTCAACGATCGAAATAATGGTCGATATCGCTGTTATGTTATGTTTTTTTTTTCTTTTCGCTTATCGTACAAGAATCTTCGGGCAAGGAAAACCGCATGCTCGTTTGGGTAAACTCGAGATAAATTGCATAACTCGGAAAAGCGGTGCTTGCAGCAATTGCATCATAAATAATCGAACGCGTTACGTCGCTTAACGTGCTCGCGGCGAAGGAAAAAACGGGAAAAAAATCGAAGAGTACTGCGTTGCCTGTGAACGCACGCCGGAAGAATCGAGCAGGTGAATAAGTGAGAAAGAGGAGGAGGAAGGACGTTAATCGGCGTTAATGAGATGACATCATCGATGCGCGATCGCCGATTCTATTTCGAAAGAATCGGGGAAAGACGCGAGACGATTATCGAATCAATTCCCAACGTCTGGACCAAGTTTCGTAGAGAAAGTGAAGATGAAACGAAGATAAAAAGACAGTTCTAGAAGCTAGGCAAGGTGGTCTCAACGGAGAAAAATGAATCTAGCAATTTTCACTAGCTCGATCAAGTTCATCGATCTAACAGATAGTACTACGATAGAGTGAAATAATCAATGGACGTGAATGAAACGTAAATAAGAAAATGGCGCGGTGCGTGAGTTACTCCAACGATCGTGAAGCGTAATTGAAAGATACGAATGAAAGACGAAGATCAATGGGTCTGAGAGAAAGATCGATCCAGCGGATCGACGCTCCAGAAGACAGGGAAGAAGAAAAAGGCACGAGAGGTTCCTCGACAGGAGGATGTAATTTACCGGTTTTTGTTTCTCCCGTGTGTCTGCCAATAACTGTTTTCGCCTAGCCTTTCGGAGGATGGCAAGCGGCGACAATCGTCGAACGATCTACTCTTTCGTCTTCTCCGCGTGAAAATAGATTTCTTTCCTCGAAAGTGTGAAAAACTGAACGAGGAATTTCTCTTTCGATTTTCTCACCTAACGTACACTTTCGTCGAAGGTAACCTCCCTCTCGAGTAATTGAAACATTTTCGTAGCTATTTTCACGTGCAGAAAGAGAAGGCGAAGAATAGGAATTTCGAGAAATGGCAATCTGCCCCGGAATTTCGTGCAGAACGTTTCGAAAGTGACGCGTTCACCACACGAGGCCGCATTGTCCACCTCGTTCGATATATCACCACTGTGACCGACCATAACGCTGTTGCAAAATCTCCGCTGACACGCGAGGGTAGGAAGGAAAAGAGCGCGTTTTTCTCCTAGACGCTTCTTCTGAATCTGAACGAAAGGTGCGGCGACGATACGTCGTGATTTGTTTTCAGATCGTAAACGAAGATTCGCGTTACAAACCTTGGACTTTTTTATCGATGTTCTAATAAAACGTTTGCAAACAGAGAGATCTCTAATATTAAGTACTATTAATTTATACTCGTTGATTAAACAGACACGAGTCAATTGAAACTGCTCCCATTCGTACTACGCAGGAACTTCTCTGATAAGGAATATTAGGTCACTGCAGAGATTCTATCAGAGTTTGTTATTTATTACAAGTTAGAACGAACGATTTCGCTCTGTTCAATTAACCGTACAAGATCCACGAATTCGAACAGGCTTTAGAAATTCCACGGAACGTGAACATACACGCAAATTCTCCGATAAGAGACGATAGTACGCTCAGCTGCTCGATGGAAAAGCACCTGTAGCACGCGTTTAGTCGAAATTTCTCGATTAGAGAATAACACACATCAGCGTTTGTCAAAGAACTAATGTAACGTTACACAGGGAAAGTTCTGGCACGCTGTATTTGCGTACGGTAGCTCGATGAATATCGGTCGCGATCGAAACAGACCTGTTGAGAAACGATGCATAACAGGTTCCGCGAGTGAACACGTAGGTGCTCCCTCCGTCTACGATTCGATAAATTAACCAAGGCTAATCGTTAAGGTGGCGATCAGCTGACGATCAGCTGAATGGGGGTCTCTCGTGGTGAGAAGAAAGCGTAGGCTGCACTGTGTATTATTGAAAATGCACGCGAGAAAGTGGCGTAGCACGTGGTCTCCCCGTCGCGGACGCATAAATCGCGCTCTAAGGCGAACTCTATTCGCGGCTAGCAACGCGCCGTGGCCAAGAATAAACATGAAAATAGGTTTGCAACCCTTGGTTCGCGTCGCTTTTGACTCACCTAGCCACGCCACTTTGCTTCTTCACCGATCGAACAACAATTAATCCTCCTGTCGTTAATCGTAATTCGGTTTATCTATTGCGGACGAGAAGACAGTTTTATTGCATCGTGTTCATCTCGGCGGGGAAACGTATTCACTGGATATATTTTTATTGAAAAGATAATCATCAGAGTGGTGGAAAAATATAAAGACAAATATTATTGTGGGATATTGAGGAATTAGACTTACCAAAGTGTTCTGATATCCTAGGCCATACTGTTGGCTCCCCTCGCTGTCAGACGATGCCATATTGGATCTTCGATCGGTACGAGATCGACGTTGAATGATTTTTGTAGAATCACCGCGACTCGTTTAATTAACAAGTCAAATTAAGACCAAGACAATATGTGTCGAAGGGTGCGGAGATACAGAGAGAGAGAGAGAGAGAGAGAGAGAGAGAGAGAGAGAGAGAGCGAGAAAGGAAGGGAATAGAGGAAGGAGGTTAAGTCCTCGAGCTAGATCGACACTTCACTTTGATGGTTATTACTCGTTAAACCAGACAACTCTTTCTTCCTCTTCCTCTCCTGTCTCGCCAGCTTATCGACAACGATCCGAGCTTTGGACGCATTTATCGTCTCCCCCGGAACGATCCTACTTCCCCCTTTTTCTCAAGCAAACACACCACCGTTCACCGAGTATCCTTCGCTCGCGTACGCACGACTAGCCCCGGAAAACGCGATACTCCACTCTGTTTCCCCAGTATCCATAAAGCACAGATAGGTGGATGATTCGACGCGTGGGACGTGTCGTCATACGGAGAACTTCTTATTCGTCACACGCGGTTCTTCCGTACCTCACCTCTTCGGAGCTCGCACGAAACCACGCGCTTCTTCGATCGCCAACATTCCAATCGACTAGGCACACTAAACTATTACGGCCAATAACCAGAAGAAGAAGAAGAAGAGGAGGAAAAAAAAGATATCTATACGATTTCAAACACTAGCTGCGGCAATATCCACTGAGAGACAGACGCGCGCGTTGACCGGGTGCCGCCGAACTACCAAACAGAAAGAAAAACAACGCGCCCCACCACACCGTCACGAAAATTCTATTCGTCGTATGTATGTTATAAACCGCTGTGTATGCGTGCTACTTTCGCGCCAACTTACGGATTTTCACGATGCAAAATCCTTCCTACTTTTATTTTCGCACGTGTCCCAAATGGAACTTTGAACGAACAATAAGATTGGTAGTGGTGATAGGATCGAGCGTAACGGTTAAACAGCGGTTAATTACGAAACTAATTCCCCCCGTCGCGGGAATACACGCCATGAGACAAGGAGAAGATGAATTTCTTCGGTGAAGCTTTCACTTGTCCTACAAGTGTCTACTCGACGTCTAGGACGGTTATTCGGGTGGTAGAAGCGATCGTGGGGCGGTTCTACAGCGAAAGAAGAGATTGTTAAGGGTCTCGAGGTTCGTCTGACCTACGATATCGTTGACACGAGACGCGCTTCACGAGCGACTGTCCGGTTGGACGGTCGTCAGCCGACTGATGATAGGTGTATGAATGAAGCGGCCGAGATTTCTGCCTCGGTTTACAGGAAAATCAGAATCCTGCCCCGTCGCCTCTTCACACGTCACTTAGCTTTAGACTTTGTGTTATTCTCTGTGACAATTCGTTCGATACACCTGCCGATAGACACCTCTCTCTCTCTCTCCTTGTCGATCCAAGTGAAAACGTCTCGTCGTAGGCCAGACGATAGATAAATATCGAAACTTAGATAATTGCTATCCCTTTAATGGATCGACGATAATTCGATCGCCATATCGATTGATACATAGCGATAGACGTAGAATTACGCACGCGCTATCTGTCTCCCGTTCTTCTCGTGTAATTATGTAATTCGAGTTAACTGGGATTGTCTCGAGTAGTGTGTTTGCGCGACGAGTGTGATTCTCTATGGATCCGAGGTATCGTGACGGAAGTGAACACGATAAAATAAACGTACGAGTATATGTGCGTTATTGCTTATAAAAATAATTTCGACCAAGGGATTGGACGATGACGCATTTGCTGACAATTTTATTCTACCGTTAAATCGTCCTTCGATCGAAGACACCGAGGTGAGACCTTGACCATCAACTCCCACGGTCTTGCCTCTCCCTTCGAGGCACGCTACATCTTCCAAAGACATGTCGTTCAACCGAACCAACTTTCGGTTCCTAGATTGGCCATGTACGACATACCTAATTTCGTATCGCTCGTGACATTTTGACTAGACGGGTCGAACGATCGGAAATTATCGCGAGTAAAACAAACGAACGGTTGCGCAGACTGTCGGCACGTCTGCGCATCTTAGCCAGGCATATGTGTGTAAACACGATGTGTTATCTGTTTAGAAATTAATGGTGCGATTTAAAGAACTATTGAGGGAGGGAGGGAAAATGAGTAGGAAAGTTTGTGATACTTTCTACGTGAGATGGAGAATCGGGATAGCAGGCGGAGTTTCACCGAATTCGACGGACTTGTTGTCACTTTGCTACGAGAAGCATGACGCTGTTCGCAAGAGAGCGTTGATGCATGAATATTTATGAGCTCGAACATTCTAGGCAGGTGTAATGGGCTTTGGAACAGACTGTACGTCGTATCGACGACTCTGTAAAAACTCATTTTCTTTATTGTTTCCCGGTACTATTCTATTGTAGTATTACGCAAAAATGATTGAACGTTGACACTTGGACGGGAGTAAGGTGAGAGTGGAGCCCGAATTATTTGAAGACCGATGGAGAAAAGTATAAACGTTATATTATATATTATATATCATTAATAAATGTACAATAAGCATTGTAACAAGATAACGTCGTGAAATGTATGTCCGTTCATAGTTTTATAAAAAGGAAGGTCACCCGTATTAATACTGCAGTTAGTCTAATAGTTTTGTGCGTTTGAATAAATTTATATCTCAAAAATATAGGTTTCTTAATTTAGTTTCGTTTTATCTTTTCTTTGTGCGTTACTTAGGTTCTCAATTCTCCTGAATAGGACTGCAGATCGTGTGTTAGCTAAGAATCATCTTGTTCGTTTCTAACTTTGCATGACTGGCACTTACTTTACCAGTGGTTAACTTTTGTTCTAGGACAGAAATTAACAACCCCCAGAACGTTATATCCCCTTTGGTACAATGCTATCATTGAGAGTTAGCAGAGGGATTTTCAGAATCCGACCCACTTGGCACAAGTGACGCTATTACAAACATTAAAAAATATCCATGTAAGCCTACAATTCAATCTAGTACTTATGCATCAATTTTTTGTAAATGTTACTCACCGATGATGATGATTAAAATGATCACACAGATAATGCCAATGATGATCATCATTTTCAGATTTTTCCACCAATATTTCCTTTTCAGTTTGCCAGCTTGCTGTTCAAACTGAGTTGCTCCCTGTTTCAGAGCATCAGCACGATTCTCCAATTCGGATAACTTCTGATCTCTCTCCAATACCTTCTCCACGTTTACTTTCATGATTCCCACAACTTCGTCGACAGTTGCTTGTGTCTGCTGCAGCTTTTTGGTGGAAACTGTTGGCTGTAAATTTCTGGACCCACCCATATCTCCATCTCTGGAATTACCACTGCCATCCATGTTTCTATAATCAAACAAGTAATACGCGTTAAATACGTCTTACAAACCATCATCGTCTGTGATTGTCGCTTTAAAGCAAGTTCGAAGAGAAATTTTTGACAGCTGCAACGGTATGCATCGACCACGGTACACACCCATAACCTCAAAGTTCGCAAAACAATTGACCGAATAAAGTTATTCGGTGAAAGTTTCGTACAGTATTACGACGCTACGCTACTTAACGTAATAACGTATTGATCAAGAATTATCGTTTACCCTAAAAATAACACAAAACGGTACTTCCAAATATGCACTTCTGTTTACAGTTACGCGGAAATATTTGATCGAAATTGCTAACTGCGCCACACTTTAAGAGAGAAGAGAGAGTAGCCAAACTTACTCTGAAACGAGAGATTTACACAAAAATCAACGAGGATGCGATTCGTTTGAAAATAATGACAGATATTCCCAACTTTACTCAGATGACGAATACACTTTACGACAGCAACAGTACATGACATGCGATAAAGATGGCGATACTTATGACGTCATTACTACGAAAATTTTTTAACAACTACTCCAGGAAGTTGAATTCTTCGTCTAATCTAATCTTTATTTCACAAACTATCGTTACAGTGCACGATCATTCCTCTCAATCACTTTCTGCGTCGCAGATTTCCCAGATTACAACAACACGAACTTCAAACTTGAATCTCGCGCGTGGTGCCATCTTAACAGAACTACTTGCATCGCACAAATATTTGAATTAATAAAAATTATATTATAATCACGTTAATTTTACCACGAATACGAGTACGCTTCACTATGCAAAAAAGTGACATAGAAGACGCTTAATTTTCATTTTCTTTGACCGCAATTTCCACAATACAATTATGAAAAAGAAAAAATTAAACGTATAATTACACATGCATGTACACGTAACGTTTAATTGCAAGTAATATCAGAATAATTATTCAGATATTGTACAGATCGATCGAACATGCTACGAACATTTATCAAAAGTGTTACAAAGAAACAAACTATCAATTTTATCAAATATCTAATCTATCCACATAACGACATATTTACGGAGCGAAATGCACCACGGTACACTCGCCTCCCGACAAAAATTCCAACAAGGACATAAATAAAATACTTTGCGGATGCTTGTGCGCGTATTATCATCGCGTTCCCAGGACCGTACGAACTTACGTCACAAGAGTACACTTGGCCCAATAAAAAAAAAAAGAGAAGAAAACCTGAAATTTCCCCAATTTCAAGCAAACTTCAATCCCACGTAACATTAACGAACGAAACAACGACAAACGTTCCTTCTCCCGCCACTGTACAAGTACCTACGCCGTACACAAGCATCGAGCAACACTATCCAGTATCACGATTCGAAAAAACAAAGAGAGCAATTGTACCGGTCGTTGGCCTATTTTCCCGTCGCTAGACACAAGGCACCCAATATCCATAGGAACAGCCCTGATTTACTTTCAGGGTGTGTTTGCGCATGGAGGGTTGGAGCTGGCTGGCGTTTATTGACTGGAAACTCGTGCGCATGCGCAGAGTATTCTATCCGTTGATATACCTCGAACCTCCTATATTCGATTTATCGATTAGTTCTCCTTTTATCAATCCTGTGAAAATATTCACCGTTGACGTTACTTTAATTCGATAATTCTGCGTATCGCGAAATTCCCTGAAGTTTTCTACCGGTTGAATCGGTCGTGGGACAGAGAGAAACGTAAATGGACGGTTTGAGAAGCGGGAAAAAGGCGGTCGCGATTCAAACGGTTCGAGGGTGGTCGAGATAGAACGGTGGAGCGGCGGCGCGGCAGTACCGCTGGAAATTTTATCAATACCGCGGCCGTCTAGTCGGTGACAGTCGCTCGTGAAAAGTACGCGGTCATCTGACGGGGTTGCCAGGCCAGCGGATAGCTCTAGTTCAGGAAACCAACAGCTACCGACGAACGACATGTGAGTAGACGAAATTCTACCGATCCTCGTGTCCATCGAGCCAGCGAAAAGTGATTTTTCACAGACTGTGCGAGAACCGACAGGGAAATATCGTTGGAACTGTGAATTTCTTGGGAAACCAGGCTATATCGTGCCCCTTCGCGAGTCCATAACGCTTTCACGGACTTCTCTTCGCGAAGAAATTAATCGTGCCTACGTTGCGGAGAATCGGTAGACTTTTCAGAGGGAAATGTGAGTCTAGTTTCTTCACTTGGTCAGTCGTAGTTTACTAAAGGGGAAGTAAAGAAGAAGTTGTACAGGTTTATTTCGAGGAATCGTGCAATTTTCGGTGATATAGATAGACGAGTAAATTTTTCCTGGTTTCGTGTACTTTCGTCGAGTATCTATTTTCTGCCGACAAGTGAGAAATCAGACGGAAGATGGAATTTCGTGAAAAAATTATTCTCCTCGACGATAGTTGAATAGGTAGGGGTGTTGAATCAATCGTCGTACATTTACCGTTCTTTTTCGTTTCGTTGCTATCGTATCGGGTATTACGTGTATACAAGTGTCTGGATGAAATTTCGAAGAGGAATTGCTTTACTGTCCGCGAACTCGCGGAAAAAAAAGAATTGAACAAGCTGTAAGGCGGGTTTTAAGACGCAATTTCTTAGGCCTTTGTCGCCCAATCGATTCCCTTGCACAGCCTATCCGCACGCCAGAATTTCCAATAAAGTGCAGCAAAGCTTAAAGCGGACCACAGGGGCGACTCCTTTCGAACAGCTGAATTGCGGTCATTGAATTCCCGGACCTCACGATGCTTCTCCTTTACGATTGAAAGGGAAACTTGGGGTAATTGTCCGATAATTTTACTCTTTAATATCGTCCAACCTCTCCACTTATCCCCTGTACACTTTCTTCTTCCAACTTTTCCCTGCCGAAAATATCCATTTCAAAGAGGAACTATCGTTTTTTCATTTCTTATTTCTCTCTCGCGCGAGAATTAAGCACGGTACGTTCCGTTCGTTCTTTCGACGGGTAAAATTGCGAGATTTAATTAGAGGCACGTGAATCGTGAACGTCAGAACGTTCGACTGTACCGGCAGTTGCTATATTTAGATAATCAATGCCGAGCACATTTGCAGCAATGTTCTACGGCTTTGGCGATGATACGAAAAGGTGCGCTTTCGAGCGCGTATCGAATGCCTGGCTGCAAGTAGATTGTCCCCGACAAAGTCAGACAAAGCGGTAGGGTATCGGTTGGAACAACAGGTTTAGGGTGGAAACGTGTGCCCCCCTGAATAACCGGCTGATAAATAAATAACGCTAACTAAATTATTACTTTCCCTTTACTTTTTACTCCTTTATTCGTCGTTTCGCAAACACATGAACATCTGAAACAAAACTTGAAATTATCCGCGTAAAGTGGAACACGTAGCTGTTTCGAATTCGATTTCCCTCTGAACTTCAAACTTAAAAGGATAAGTGTTTGACGTCACACGGATCCCATTCAAAGTTACAGGAGGGCGAGAAATAGAGGGAGGTTACTTTTCCAAAAAAGCATCGCGGAACATTCGACTGTGTTTCATTGACGTCACTTGATACCTCGACAATTCTAAAATTAGGAGTTCGATGGGAATATTAAGAAAAAATAAGAAAGAAAACGCGTCGATGCTTTCGGAACGACGGCGACAAGTTTCACTTCGCGAACCTTTGCGAGAGGCTTCGAGAATTCGAAACGACGCAATTTAAATTGTCGTCACGGTGACTTTTTCGACTCTAGAGTAATGCAATAATAACGACGATAACCGGCGAGCGCGCCTCGGTCGACATATTAATCCGATTATATAAGCCGCTTGAACGCGTAAAGGCCTGAAAACCAGGTGAACGATTCTCTCTTCCATATCACTTGACCAAAAGAAAGAGGAGAAACATCTACAGAGAATCTTGGAGAGAAATTTTGCCAGAGAAACGACGTATATCCCGTTAAAGTTTTCCCCTCGAAAGGACGATAAAAGAAGGGGAAGAATGCTGGAAACTCACGTTTATCTATTTCTATAGCAATGTTCCACTGGTTCGTTCGATCGGTTGCCAAAAATAAAACCCGCAACCTCTTCGAACGCTTTTTAATCTGCCATCGGTACTCGACATATCCGGGTAAACCTCGAGCACGCGCCCGGAATCGAAATGCGTGTAAATTCACCACGAAATCGATGTACCGAGGCTAGTTTCATTTCGCGTTGACTTCTTTTTCCTTCCTTCCTTTTTCTCCTTGTTTTCGCAGCAGCAATGAGATTCGCGAGATTATTCAGTTCGAAGATAGGGAAAAAGGAGGAGAGCAGTTTCACAGGTGGAACACGAGTGTCGAAGTATTGGCGCAAAAGCGCGAAACACGGAACACCCGACGAAAGTTTTGCGCACGTTGTTGAAACAGAAACGCAACGAAACGCCAACGCGAGCCTGTCGTGATGATTAAACTAACATCCCCGTTGTTCATCCCCGAAGGAAAAGGTCGGTCCTCGGTCGGTTTCAGTCATTATCCTCGGTGTCTCTATTATGAAGTAAAATCATTTCTTCACCTTCGCGATCTTTTAGACTCGGTGAGAAGACAATACACCGTCTGTACACGTTTCAGCTTTGAGAACCGTGTCACGAACTTTGCCCTTTCGAGTTTCCACCCGAACCCGGTTCGATGGGAAAATCGCACCATCCACCATGGAACATTCGAGACGCGTATTGTACACGTGTAATTTCAGATATGTTCCAATTTCTCCATTTGCAAGGAATACGAGATTGATTAGATCGAGAGTAACTAGACTCGATAGAAGGCTGTAACAACCGCTAGAAAAGAGGAAGAGATACGAAGAAAGGAGAAGAAATAGGGATCGTGTTTGCAACGAACGCTATTCTCTCGAAAATTTCCACTCGCTCTTAATCTTCCATCGTTCGCATCACCTCCTTTCTATTTGTCGTTCGATTTCCTCTCTTTCTCCGAAGATTTAACTCGTCGAGAATGTGGATCTTCGAATTTGAAATTCTCTCACCTTTCGTACGTTCTCCGGTGTCTCTTTTCTCAATGAAAACGTGAAAAGTGTGTCTGGAAGCTTTCGTCTAAGTGGTTGTTTCCTCAATTTTAGCTGCGGAATCGAAGGTACAATTGAAAGGACTGTATTGAAAGAACGAATAGAACGAGGCTATAATTATAGATATTTGATGAATATTTAACGAACAGGAAATGACGGTGAAATATGGATGACGGTTGCAGGGCCACCGAGGGCGGTCCAGCACCGGATGCTGCTGCAGGTGCAGGTTCCGATGGAATCGTCGGAGGTCCCAGGACGCCTCAGCAGATCGCCTCGCAGAAACGACTGCAAGCGACGCAGGCGCAGGTAGACGAGGTCGTCGACATCATGAAAACGAACGTCGAAAAGGTCTTGGAGCGTGATCAGAAGCTCTCCGAGCTCGATGATCGAGCGGGTAAGATCTCTGAAATTGAAAATTCACTTTTTTCTTTCGTTTCCTCCACTTTCCCTGCCCTTTAAGGATTTCGTTCAGATCGTTAAAGGTAATTCAGATAACGTGAAGAAACGTACTCGTACGAAATTGAAAGTTGAAGAGACGAGAACGAAGGAGGACACATGATATGTCCTGTCTGGTGTGGTCGCGGTTAGTGTACCTTCGCTGCGGCTGGTTTTTCATGAGTAACGCGCGCGGGCAGACGGCGGACGGCGAGGAAATTTTCACGGCGGAAGGGTTAAAGCATCGAACGATCGATATAACAGAATTCTGTAAATGCTAACTAGCATTTTCAACATTTGAACTTTCTTTCTGTGCGGCAAAGCTGTATGACCAACTGAGAACGACCGGAGTACATTGTACAGAGCCTGACAGAGGTCTCGGCGGTCCTTATCTTTTTATACTTCTGTCTATTCTCTTATCGAGACATGTTTACTTCGACGCCAGACAAAGATGTTCTCTATATTTGCTCCACCGACTGTACGTATCGCGGTGACATCCAAACGAAAGTTTTTCTCGTGGAAATGCACAATGGTTGGGACTATCGATTATACTTAACGATGTATCGACAATATCGTTAAGGCGAATAGAGAGAGGAGTCGCCGAATCACGCGTTACACTCTGCTTCAACCGCTTTTGTACCTCTATTCGCCTCAACGGTATCAGCGATATGTCGGTAACATTTCGATATTATCAATACTTACCGATAGTCACACCGCTACGGTAGTTGGGGGAGGGAAGTGGAAATTCAAGTAGCGCGATTACCAGCTCGCACGAAGGATATTCTTTCCATTCATTCTGCCACAGCATTAAAGTAGTTCGACCCTGCGCGTCTCACTGCACGCTGATATCGATTACTGTGACACCGCTCGGAGAATCGATGCCACGTTAAGGGCCTGACCGTTGTCGATCTTTTCCACTGCACGCACACCTTAGATCTTGCAGACTGTATTCTCTCCTTCGCGTACAATCCAACGAAAAATTCAAAGTATCTTTTCTTCCTTTTCGTTCTTGTTTCTTTTACCACACACAGCGGATACGTTTCGAGCTGATTTTGAAAATGGCCCACGCTTCGCTGAAGACACGCTCCTGCGGGACGTTGAAGCTCGTTAGCCAAGTACCTGTCGCAATTGTCTCTACCACCGTCTCTATTCGTTTTCATGACGATGTTTTCACGACAACTCTCTACCGGGATTCCTTTTTTTTTCCTTCGCATTTCTTTCCCCTCGAAGTAGCCGGAGAGGTTTTAATATCGTTCAATTGTGTAAGATTTTTCTCCTCTTCATTCTAGACGCGCTTCAGCAAGGAGCGTCACAGTTCGAACAGCAAGCAGGAAAATTGAAGAGGAAGTTCTGGCTACAAAATTTGAAGGTAAATCTCGTTCGATTTTTACTTTATTCCCAATATATTTTCTTCCTATATTCATCTTCCTCTTCGTTATTCTGCCTTCAGATGATGATCATCATAGGCGTCATCGGACTAATCATATTGGCCATCATTGTTGGTAAGTAACCACTAACATAGATGCACTTGTCGAAGCTAATCACACTGCCATTGTAACTGTCTAAATGTTCTGCGTCATACGATCGATGTACATATCTCGCCACGATTATCGAACGACCAATTCGTCACTGACGAACGTTAACTATAGAAACGTGAATATCAGAAAATTACCTACTGAGGATAATTAACGACCTTGTACTAGGAAAAAACTCGTTCCTTTCTATCGTTCACCCTTTTTTCTCGAGACAACTTTTCGTATTTCACATCGTTCGAAATAAGACGCGAAACAAAGTAGTACAACTCCTCGATATTGCATTCCTCGAAGAAAGAAATCATTTTGAAGGGTTTAAAGAAAAATTGAACCGAATCGGTCGTTCCGGGCTATTGTCTCAGTCGATATATGTATACTACTTGTCCGTGCTGATAAAACAGGTCTCCAGGACCGAAGTCGTATTGTGCTTTGCACGACGCAAAAAAGAAAAAAGAACAAAAGACAAAAAAAAATGAAAAGAGGACTTTTACACGTTCCGTGTGAGAAGTGTCTCGCTAAATAATCCCTTGAAAACTTCTCTAATACTGTCCTTTCTAACGTGCCACTAATCTTCTCACTGCTCATCATTTAACGTGTGAATTCTATGTGTTTCTCTTTTTCGTCTAGCGAAATTCATGTAGACGCGCTGGTTGGTGGAAGAGATTTGTGTGTGAGTGAGTCTGAAGGTACAAAGCAACAAAACTGAGAACACAATTGCGTTCACAGTTGTCTCTCTCTCTCTCTCTCTCTCTCTATCTGTTTCTATTTCTTTCCTTCCTAATCTTTTTTCTTTTCTTCACGTAGAACGTGTGTGTACCTGAATACCCTCTCTGTAATACGGATATGTACATCACCGTTCTCTCGTTGTTCTCCCTATAATTAAATATTCACCAGACTCCGTACATCCTTGAACTCGTACATCCAGACTCTTTCTTTTACAGTTTCTTCGATTTTTCAAGATGTGTCCCTTTTTGCAAGTGTTCGTCGTTTCATAAGCATCTCTCCCGTACGAATCCGAGCGACGGAGAAACGACAGAACGATCGAGGATTAAAGATCCGAGTAATACATGTGTATACACCGTCGTTCGGATCTCGTTTCAAGGAGAGATCCTTGTGAAATTACCATACGTATATATTGTTTGCCTGTAATAGGTACTTGCTGATGTGATCTATCACTATCTGTATTATCTCCCTCAACCCGCGAATATACCGGCGTTCTTCGAGGCTCCGTTGCGGTATTCACGAACAATTTTAACCCTTCGACAGTTTATCCCGTGCGAGACTCGGCCAAAGCGTCCAATATTTCGCTGTTTCACTCAAGAGAGAAAAAGATACGCGTGAAATGTAAATTCTTTTCTGTCGTAATTCATAATTTTATAAGACCGTCAAAGGGTTAAAGATCGAAAGAGTTGGTGAATTCATAACGAGAGTCTCCTGATAGTCGGCTAACCACCCTGATGTGTTCATTCCAAAGCAACACGAACCAAACAAAGCGACATCACAAACACGAACCGATGGAGACTTCGTGAAAGAGTTGTCGAAATGCTAGGATATACGTCTTAAACTTCTAATATAGGGTAATTTCAGGAGGGACGGACCAGGCAAGTATTTCCTACATTATCAACGATCGGTTTCCGCGAAACAAATGTAAAAGAAAAGAATACCGACGCGTTCCACGTTCCACCCTCCCGGAATTACCCTATCCAGAGGCTTGAAACTCTGCGACATTCACTCCACGGTGTACAAGTTTCTCTCACTTCGTGTGATTTAAGAGAAGAAAAAAAAGGAAAAAATTGAAAAAGCGAAATGGAAGGCGTCCTTAAATCGAAGCAAAGTGTCTTAACATATATCTCGTGGGAGAAACGCGCGGTGTCTCTTTTTTCCGAATTTTCGACGGCGTTCAACGAAAGGAGGAGACGTCTCGAAATCTACACAACCACTTCTCTCACACAGCCCTGTGCCTATAGTAATTGACTGTTATGTGTCTGTCTGTACTTTTTTGGCGATACTATCCCCCTTGTTTCTCCCGAAGTTAGTCCCAGCCAGTGATTTTCAATTTTTTGGTGGTCGGAAAAACCGAGACGGAGGGGAAACGAGCTTGTTTAGTGTGAACAGAAAAAAAAAAATAATCGAAAAGGCTGTGATGAAAAAAGAATGCAAACGAAACGATAATACGCGCGCAGCGAACCGGAGATACGAAATGAAAGATAACGTTAAAATACCACCGAGAAATGAAAACACGAATGGACAACACCAAAACAACGACAAATTAACAACATTTTATTAACAACAACAGTATAAACAAGTACTATATTATATTTATATATACATATTATATATATACATATATGTATATCGATTCTACGAACAACAGTAAGAACAACAACATCAGCAACAACAACAGTAACAACAAAAATAGAGCGAGGTTTCTAAAAGCTTTTATTTCACCCCATCCACTCTTCTCTTCGGTACGGTAAGCTACAACTCTTATTGCTGCACTTTATCCAATACCAGTTCTTTCTATCGAACTTTTTCTATTCTTATTCTTGTACATAATACTTCTTCTGTTTTCAACATCGTACATCCTCCTACGCGCGGAACGCAGCGTTTTTGTTTCGCTGCTGCGAAAAATATAGAGACACCTTTATTTTCCTCGTTTTTCTCCTCTCTTCTCTCTTTTGCACTCGAAAGAGGAAGTAACTAAATTCGGTAGTTCGTATTTGCAAAAGAGAGTTTACCGACGAAATTCTCTGCGCGCAGCACACGAAACGGAGAACACGCGTTTTTATCTGCATATTCGATTCAGCATGGAAAAATTCTCTTCCCTTCTTCTCTCTCTCTCTCTCTCTCTCTCTCTCTCTCTCTCTCTCTTTCTTTCGTTTCTGTTCCACTTTCAAAGTATCGATCCTCGTTCTTCCACGAACTCGAAGAACACCGTTTCAGAATATACAATTACATATGAATATATCTTGTGCGGGAGAGAGTCTCCCTCATACGAAACGAAAATTTATTTCTGGGACGATCTTCACAGCCGTGTACAGCATGCTTTCTTTTACCGAAGCACGACTACATACTGAGATCCATCGAGCATGCGTTCTTTCTTTCTTTTCTCTTATCGTTTCATTCACGTCCGATAGACGAATAGAGCAAGCTTAGAGAGCATGGCTTCTCCCCGTTCGATCGCGATAGCGTGCTACTTATTGTTAGTGAGAAGAAAAAGGAAATTCTCGTCGGGTCTTGCGGAATGTTACAATGATCGTTGACAACGAGAAACGTTTTCCTTTCCATTGGAAGTAAACGTCGAGTGCAAGAATTCGAAGATAATTCCTGTTTCTTTCCTTTTTTACGTCGAACGATCAGTGTATAACGGACTGACGAACTTTTCAACCACTAATGGGTGTTTAAATGTGTTTCGTAAGAGTTGCATGCATATTCTCGCTTGAAACGAAATAAGAAAGTTACGGATATGTATGTGGATAATTGTTTAGAAGGTAGATATGGTAGATCTCTGCCCGCGTGAACGAAGATACTACTGAGAATAACGAACAGCTGACGAGATACTTCTACCGATTTCGAATAAATCTCGTGGAACTTGGAAATTGTTCTATCTTCGTCCACGACGATCGGGGTAGACCGGAATTCTGCATGCAAAGAATGCCAGAGAAAAAAAAAAAAAAAACGTTGATCTAACGAACGACGTAAAAAAGACAAAACCAAGCGATGACTGTGAAATAGCATCCGGAGCAAAACGAAAGATGTTGCGAATCAAAGCGGGTCGCTTGGAAAACGGACAAGGGAAACAAAACAATCGCCTCTTGTTCTTTTCAGCCTGCGTCTCCGGCGGCAACGACTCGCAAAACTGAGCACGTGAGTAAAAAGAAAAAAAAAATCACAAAAATTAAACGAAAAAACGAAAAAAAAAAAAGTTACACAACAACAAAAAAACAAACAACCGAGAGAAATGAGGAAGGAACAGCGGGGGAGGTTTTCGAGGGATCGAAGTAATGTAAGATCATCGGGAAGAGAAGGATACACAGGAAGAAAGCGTTAGATCAACGGCCAACGATCGACTACACGGAAGAAGAAATGACGAGAGAGAAGGGGGAAAGGGGTGAAAATGGAAACGAGAAGGATGCTTTGTGTTCCATCGAAAACGACGCCTCGGACGTCTCGCGGATGGACGAAGGCCGGCCACGAGGAAGAAACCGACCGATTCACGAGAGAAACTACCCAGGAAATAGGCGGAAATAGTGAGGAAAAGATAACGAGAGAGGATTTTTGCCCTCCTTCGTCCATCTCTGTGAACTGATCTACGCGCGGATGGAAGAACTGTATCGAGAAACCGTAACGCTGGACAGTGTGTAGAAAAGAAGCGAAAAGAGAGAAGAGTAAGAAAGAAAGAGGGGAAAGTGTGATCGCGATACAGGGTGTCCGTTAAAACCGGATGGATCGTTTTTTCGACGAAGGCAGAGTGTAATAGGGAATTTCTCATTGTGTCTCCCCTTCCCTCCGTAATCAAGTGCCGAATATAAATAAATCGATGTGTGTATAAATGTATATCGACGTTTAATTTATAAATAAACGTGTATGTGGTCGCAGAGGAGAGCGTGTGATGCATAATTACAGAAAAAACGAAAGAAATCGTAGCAATGGATCTGATTTTTCGTCGTAATTCGTGAAACTTTGCTTCGTGTCGGTTCACTGGACATCGAAACTTATCACTTGTTCGCCGATTTGTGTTTTTTCTCGTCTTTCCTCCATTTTCGTTCTGTTCCGAGAAGGAAGACTTTCTATCCCAACGATGAAACGAAACTTAGATTAAGCTCAAGGGGAAAATAACGAATTTCGGTAGGATTCTTACGCTTCCGGATCTCTCGCAGGATCGACAATGGATCGCGCGATCTTCTTGCGACACACTATGTGTACATCTCGTGCTGTAAATAGTATCATTTCTCCTTCACGTTCGTTCGATTACGACCAAACCGCTGGTAATTAATACTAATAATAATAACGATAATGATAATGATAATGATAAAAAAAAAGTGAATAAACAATGAGAAAAAATCCGCGCAAGATACGTGAGAGAGTGAGAGAGAGAGAGAGAGGGGGAGAGAGAGAGAGAGAGAGAGAGAGAGAGAGAGAATCACGTGCAATCTTTGTTCTTTCGCGTATTGCCCTTCCATTGAGAATCGAAATAAAAAAAAAAAAAAAAAAAAAAAAAAGGAGGTAGAAAATGATGTAGTAGAGAAGCAGCCTGCCTTCGTCGAAGACGGCAGAAAATGTTTTCGAGCAACCTGTGCGAGCGACGAAACGAGAAAACGCAAAAATACGGGAAAAAAATAAAATACAAACAGAGAGGAAAAAAGAAGGGAGAACAAAACGAGAGAAGATGCGAAATAAAAAAATAACGCGGCGAAGAAAATGAAGAATAAAAGAGAAAATAACGAGAGGGGTACGCTTCGACTTGCTCGAGGCACTTGTAGGTTTGTTTTAAGGCTTATAACGGTAACGAGAATAATTATGATAATAATAACAACAATAACGATAATAATAACGCGGAATAATATTCGTGGAAAGAATTCTGCCTTATCAACAAGGCAGAGACAAATATACATGTACGAGGTATTGTTAAAAATTGAAGATATATATCAGAAAAATCTATCCTATACATACGGTGTGTTCAGAGAATGGCAAATCTTCGATCTCATTCGCGTTTCTTTTTCTTCGATTCGAAAATTAACATATACAGGGTGGAAAAAAAATACACTCGAATTCTACGTTATCTTCAATCGATATACAATATATATATATTTCCGGATCACAAGCTTCCCGAAATTATTGTATAGAATCGTTTCTTTTCCCGCGTGAGAGATCATTTTGCGAACACGTATCGTCCTTCTTTATCGATACTTCGTACCCCGATTTCACGAAAAGGAAACGACGTCCTCGAAAGTTTCTCATCGGCCATCCTCTGTACGCGGTACGAGAGAGAAAAGAAAAAAAAGAAAGACATCCGATCGAGGAGAGGGGGAAGAATAATCATCGGCGTGATTTTTCACTTCGAGCTCGATGAAATCTTCGATGGGTTTCCTTTTTCTCATTTTTCATTCGTTTACCTTTGCTGTGTTCATCCGTAATCATCGAACGAACGAGCACCAAAACGAGTTTTCTACTCTTTCGTGTCCCTTCCTCCGCGTATTAGAATCTTACGAAGCACGATCAGCGAAAGCTGCAAAGATCTACATCTCCTGTTGAAATCTCTGTCACATTCGAGACAATTGCTTCCTCCTTTTTTTTTCTTTTCCGATAAGAAATTCCAACAGTTCAATGACAGAGCTACGCGAAGAAGGGGACCGGGGTTTGTCGAGTTGTTAAACGTTATGGCGGGGGAGAGCTTCCAGCGAAGGTTTCGTTCGCGAAGCCCGAAGAAGAAAGAAAATCGTAGCGTTCAAATGATAAAAACTACTGTGTTTAAGAAATTCAAGTGTGTATAAACGCATAACTGTACGTGATATGCGATAACTTGACCGTCGACGTGTTAATTATTATCGATGACAATTTATGATCATGATTATGCTGCTTTCAACATTGTACAGTACCGAATAAAAATTACAGTACGTAGTCAGAAAAAGGCAAAAAAAAATAAAGAAACGAAAACGTCGGACAGGTGTAGAGAGCAAGGAAAGAAAAGAAAAAGAAATGGAAATTATTTGTCGTGCGTCTCTCCATACGTCGAGTACGATCGTCTTAGGTTCCTTCTTTTCTTTTCTTTGTTTTTTCTTTATACATTCTCTTGCTTCTTCTTCAACGCCGAAATTCGAACTTGAAGACACGTATCTCGATATCTATCACAGTCCTGACCAGATAAATCTCGAACGACCGGTTGAAATTCTCGACCATAATACGAAAACAAAAGAAAGTATTTGTTCGCGCCCATGGAGAAGAGGATCCCTTTAGAAACTAGTATCTGTTTAACTCCAATAGGAGGTAAGAATACTGAAACTTCCTTCTTCTCTTCATTTTCTCTTTTTCTTTGTTTCTTTTTTATACCTACTCCTACAGTCAATCCAACGGTCTGATTGCGTTTCGGCTAAAGTGTAAAACGAAAAAAGATCGACAAAGAACATAATATAGAACCCCTTAAAGTAATTCAACACTTGTACCAATAAGCAGACAGATACATAACTCGAATTTACTCTTTCCATTTCTCCACACCAACGAACCCAGGAATCTCTCGATACAAATACTACCGCCATTCAAAACTCTCCTCAACCGACGACACTTACCTCACTCTTTTGCTTTTTCTTTTTTTTTTCTTTCAATAAATCTAAGAACCCTTCATCTGGTTATCGCCAGACTCGCTCTTTATTTCTCACGTAAGAATCGCAGCTACTCAATTTTCACGAGAATTTAAAGAAAATTCGTTACAACCGACGACCGGCCTCCTCCTGTGAATTAATCGTCGACGTGATTTCCTTTCAGCGAAATTCATGCCAGAATCGGCACCACCGCCACCGCCCTACGCTTATCCACCACCAGGTGTACCGGGCCAGGTACCAGGTGCTGTTCAACCCGCTGCTCCAGCCCCTGCATCAGCTGGTGCATCGGGAGGAGCCGGAGGTGCAAGCGGACCGCAAACGGCCGGCGCAGCGTTCGTAGGCACTCACAACGTGATGTAAAAAACAAGCAAAACAAAGAAACACCTCTCCGTTACCGTACCGCAATAACAACTTTTTCCAAAAAAAAAAAAAAGAAAAAAAAGATAACAAAGCTAAATACCTTAAGAGGCGAGCAACGCGAGATCTGTTGTGGCGTGAACGAAAGAGAGAAGAAGAGAAAGAGAAGTCGTACAGGTTTGTCTTCGATGTTAGAGTGACAGTAATTGACAAGGTCGGTGAAATAAACGTTTGATCGAGGAACGAACAGCTAACGCGTTAACTGCCGCGATGCAATCCAGATAGAGAAAAAAAAGAAAAAGAATAAAAAAAAAGTATATAATTCCCGCTAATGGCGTTCTCTCCGTTTCGATCGAGCAAAGAAAGAAAAAAGGAATACGCCGACTTTCCTTTTATCCGCGCCGCGTTTCGTGAAAAACCGCGAAGCCCGAAATGTGGGGGTGGGAAGAATTAACGGGCGCACGCTAGTTCCTCTGTGCAGTTAATGTGTTTGAGTAAAATTGTGATGAAAATGTACTCTGCATATTCGCCAGTTCCGTGAAATTAGCTTCTAGGGAGACAGTCTTGTCCTTATCGATACTATTTCACTTCCGTTCTCCGGAGAGCGGTGAGCACTCGTAGAGATCGAAATAGGGAAGGGAAGAGTTGGTCGAGCCTCCAGAACGTTTATTTCGTGAACAGATACAGATCTCCTATACGTTAGGGAATAGAACTTTCATTTGTGTGTAATCGTTGTCGTCGTCGATCTCGACTAACTTGATAACAATGAAAATTCTCGATTCGCAAAATTCCTTCGTAATTCTCATCCTTGGCGAAGGTGTTACCGTTACGAAGGAATAACAGAACGAGTTAGAAATCACAGGGAAGAACGCTGTCCGCGTTTGTTCGCGCGGTCGAAGAACATGTGTATCTACGTATATACGTGTATATGTACATAAATTATTACGAATTGTCGATGTAAGATTGAACTATACATATATACATACGTATAAATATATAAATAACATGACTTATAAATACGTAGTAGGTATTGCTACGAGTAAATACAAGGAAGAAACCGTCAGAGAGAAAAAGAGTGAGAGAAAGAGAGGGAGAGAGAGAGAGAGAGAGAGAGAGAGAGAGAGAGATTGTTAGCGTAAAACTTTCTTATTCTTCACTTTAGCGGTTCACGCGGAAGGATTAAGTGATGGTTGTCCTATAACAAGATAAAAAAAATAGAAATCGACAAGTATATTGGGAAGGATAATTTCTTTTTCAGGGTCTGTTTAGGCGATCCTACTTTTGCGAACCATATTTTTATGAATTCGACATCTGTAAGTTTTAGGCTCTTACTCTGTAGCTGAGATTCGGCACCGTTCTTTATATTAACATGATCTTTTTCTCCGTGACACACACCTACATTTCAGCACTCTACTTTCTCTATAAGTTCCAACACTAGGATATTAACGAAGGGAGAAAAGTATCGAGTTTTGGCCAACGAATGCTCCCTCTTTCCGATGGAACAACTCATACTTCATTGTGTACATTTGCATCGTTCGACGAGAAAAGATACTGCTGTTATTTGTTTCTTGTTTCTTTTTCTCGCTTAAGAGCAACAGATCGAATTAACGATCCTTCGGACTATTTGTACGTCCACTGTGAAACGATAAGCTACGATCGAAAGAGGAAGCATTTGCGGCTAGAGATTTGATTAATTATTCCGATTATTTCTGTATGTGAAACAGCACCTAACGAAACTGCTCACCGTGTTTTAGCTACAAAATCTATACATACGAATCCTTCGATTACGGATCAGTACCGCGATAGATTTGATTCTTTTTTTCCGTCTAACTAAAAATTCCTCCATATTCTTCTCTTTGTTGGCCTAATCGATTGTACCTTGTTACTCAGTTCTCACGTAGAAAAACAAACGAACAGATCGTAGTAGAAAGATAAATTATTCGAAAATACACTGTATATGTTTATCTAACTAGATGTTCGATGGAAAAAAAAAAACACTTAATCTGAATATTCTCTAGAATAGAGAAACGAGAAGATTAAGCTATCTGTTACTATTATCAATTGTAAGGGGTTGCGATTGGGATTTATCGAAAAGAAACCGATAGAATTAAGTGTCATTTTGCTACATCGTTCGAAGAAAACCATTGAGACAACGTTTTGCCCTGAATTACTATGAAAACCGATCTCTCGAAGCATACCTTCCTTTTGCTCAAGTTGCAATTAAAATAATACCACCGATTCCCTTACATCCCTCACCCCCTCGCCCCTCCCTTTTTCTCCGAAATGCTTAATTACTATTGTCCATGAATCAAATAATAGAAGAAAGAAAAATAAAACGATTATTTAAGACGTTTGTAAGTACGACAAGAATAATTAACACGTAAGAAGGCTTCACCACATAGGCAGTTAACGTATTATTATTACAAGGTATAGAGATACGATTAACAATCGCGATAATCGGTTGTGTTGAGCGTCGTTCGATTTACCGATCGAGAAAAGTCTATGTTCATCTAGTTTTAGATGTTACTGTATATTAGCCTTAAATAAACACAATTATGAGAAAGACGAGAGAATATTCGTTACATCCTTGCCCCCTTAATTTCTATTTTTATTCGTCGTAGATCGATATGGATGTTAAACGCGATCGTTGAGAAAATGGGTTGCGTTGAAAAGTATGAAGAAAACTTTTTGTAAACACCCAGGGTTCCATTTGGAGATGGTACACCACTGGTATCAATGGAACGTTCGTAGCGCCGCGTAGCGATAGATTCTTCCATTTCTCGACCATTTGTAAACATGGCTCCGGTGAGTTTTCTATTCGTCGAAAAAAATAAGAATAATTTGAAAATGTTCCAAGATTTTTTTCTTAAATTTGTTGAAAATGTACAACAACGTGTCAGGATCTTTCATTGTGATACAATTATATTTGCTTTTTCAAAAAGATTACCAAGATATTGTTCGATGTAAACTTCCAACCTAGACGGTGACCAGTAACTGGCACATGTGTTACTACAAATATGGCAAGTTGTTCAATTAAAAGAATCTCAAAATGAGGAATTACGCGTTTTTCAGACCGCTGCGAAAAAGTCTAAAGGGCCGTCCCCCAAAAAACAGGTCCTTCGGGGCAAAGGCCAAAAGAAAAAGGTGTCCCTTAAATTCACTATTGACTGTACACATCCCGCAGAAGATAACATTATGGATGTAGGAAATTTTGTAAGTTTTTCAAAATATTTGCATTCTTTTTTTATCGTTTTTCGACTAATTCGACTGTAAGACTTTTTTTGCTTATCGGCACTTAACCTTCGATACATCGTAATCTTAACCTCACGTGTATCAAAGACCTATAACAGTTATGTACAACGGTACTGTTTATTTTTACAGGAAAAGTACCTGCACGAGAGAATTAAGGTTTCAGGAAAAACGAACAATTTTGGCAATGCTGTTTCCTTGGAAAGGGACAAAATGAAGCTGTCTGTCAATAGTGATACTGACTTCTCTAAGCGGTGGGTATTGTCCAGTACTTAAAAGTACTACGTGAGAAGTAATTAACGTATTATTTATCGCTATTGTCCGTTTTAACATTAATTTTACCAAGATAACCGATATTTGCACTAATTTGATGACCTGTCTATGTAGGTATCTTAAATATCTAACAAAGAAGTACTTGAAGAAAAATAAATTGCGTGATTGGTTGCGTGTAGTGTCAGTGGACAAAGAAACCTATGAATTAAGGTACTTCCAGATTAACAGCCAAGAAGATGACGATGAGGAGGATGCAGAGTAAAGTTTGTTTTAATTCTATGCGCAATTACAGAATCATCTGTACATATTTCTATTAATAAACAATGAAAACAATTTATGCTGTATTTTTCTTAAAAAGTACAATTTGTCTACCATTTATTAATTCCCATAAAAACCAAACAAATTTTAAATCTTTGAAATTAACTGTAAACAATGTTAAAATTATCGTGGTAATGGCAGATTCTTGGTATGTAAATCACGTGCACTACCAGTAAAAAAGAACAAAGAAGTAAAATTTATTGTAAACACTCCGCAAACTGAGAATACAGGAACATACGCCAGGTGACGTATAGTGTTGAAAAGCATAAGTCATTCTTTATCATCGACACACTCGTACCTATTTAAGGTATTTTCAGATCCCCCGAGTAGATTCAGCACCCGCATATTTCAAGAACTTTGATCATTGTTATTCAATTAACGTCGTTTCTATGTACCTTACTCTTAAAACATTGCAAAAAAAAAAAAAAAACAACAACGCTATATAATTAAAAAATCTGAAAACACGAATGAATAAAATGCGCAATCATGTGTATAATAATATAAACAACCAATTTCTACGATACTTCCCTTCCTTTTTAAAACTACACTATCCATATACAAATCAGCATAGAAATTATCGAAACAATTTATCAGCATATTTATCTTTCCAATCCATGTGTTCTAAAATACTATTAAAGGATATCCTACGAAACGTCGAATTCGTTGAGACGGTCCTATCTTATCTATTAAATACATCTGTGAACCATTCTTCTCTCATTGAACAGATATCACGATAACGCGTTAAAGCATACTCCCGTTGTTTAAATAAATTGCTTTCACATATCGTCTTATCTCTACGTTTGTGTTTTTCATTCGTGTGGTTTCACCAACAGAAATCGAGGGGGACTATTTCGCGTTGGCGTAGAGCGTAGAAAGGCATCGCAGTGCGCAGACGAACTGACGCACGGCGATTGTTGTGACAGAAGTGGAGAAGAGTATCGTATCGTCGTATTTCCAGTTCGAAATATCAGCAGAAAACCGTGTGAATCGATTGGAAAGACAGGCTATCGGGAAGCGGAGGAGAAGAACGAGTTCATGAAATTGCACGGCTCGTGCAATTGAACGAGAACAATGAAGTTTCATTACAAGGAGAAACACTCCTTTGAAAAAAGGAAGGTCGAGGGTGAAAAGATTCGACGAAAATATCCCGATAGGGTCCCTGTGAGTATCACGTCTCGCAAAATATAATCATTGTGTCAGTAAACTAAAAAGAATATCGTTCTTCCTACTTGTGAAATACGAACTGCCCTTTTGTAACAGTAATTGATTAATCGTGATGTTAGGATGGTTCGATTGGAATTGCTTGGGCGAGTTTAACTCGTTAACGTCGATTCGATTCGTATCCGTGAAATTTCCTGATCAGAAATGAGTCAAGGTCAGCTTGTCAATTTTTACGTTATATTCGTTCATGTTTCGAGACGATGTAACATTTTTTTCTTGGATTTACGCGCAATAAATGATCCTTTTCACCGTTTCTATCGGATTTCTTTGTGCATTTGCCTTGCCATTATTCGAGTCTGCTGATCCCACTACGCCTATAGCAGTAATAAATATTCCGATCGATGGAATGGGACAGGAAGGAAGAAAATATTTGTCTCTTTTCGATCGATTTGAAGGGGAATTGCAAAATTTTTGTTTTATTACGCGGAATGAAATATTTGAAAATGGAGACCAGCTGTTATTACTTCAGAGACTTGGATAAATGTCAAATGCATGTAGTATCAAACATGGATTTTAAAGCTGGTGTTTGATCTTGACAGTGAGCCAAGGTTTATGCATATTTCATGGTTTAAGTAACAGTAAAGAAAATTTTGATGATATTAAATTTTTAAATAAAATTAATTCTTCATGTTTTGTCATTATTATTTAATAAGTGACAATAACAAAGAGAATTTGTATTTTTCAGGTAATTGTTGAGAAAGCTCCGAAAGCTAAAATTAGTGATTTGGACAAACAAAAGTATCTAGTACCATCTGATTTGTCTGTGGGACAGTTTTACTTTTTAATCCGTAAACGAATTAATCTTCGTCCAGAAGATGCTCTCTTCTTCTTTGTGAACAACATCATTCCTCCGACAAGTGCTAATATGGGATCTCTCTATGCGGTAATTATCTAATTTCAAATTCTTCTACAATGTACAAAATTTATATGTATATATTTATATTATGATTTTAATTTTTATAGGAGCATCATGAAGAAGATTTCTTCCTGTACATAGCATACAGTGATGAAAATGTGTATGGACACTAAATTACAAAAGAAAAAGAAAAAAAGAAGACAACATCCAAATGAAAGAGCATACAAAAAAAATTTGCCATCTTCAAAAACGTAGTCCTTTTAGTCCTAAATTAATTACGTTTGCTTCCTTAAGATAAATTGGGCACGTTCGTTTACCAACTACACGAGCGACGTATTTTTTTATTCCATCACTCACTGCTGACCAAGGAAGCTTAGGCAAAACTGGATGTAAGAATGACTAATCAGAGCTGTTATGTGATCTTGTGTCATGTCTAGCCTGGTATTACAAAATTGGAAAAGCATTAAATGGAAAACTTTCCTTCACATTTGAAAAGAATAATTAACTTGACTCGTTGTTAAAAATATATTTACACGCATTAACAATTATTTAAATGTTACTAATATTTAGAATTGTCTAATGATAAATTTATGATTTTATGTAGATTGTTTTATGTGATACAATTTTCCCTTATTTAGGCTAGTATTATTCCATTCGCATGATTTAATATTATTTAATCATAAAGGAATGGAAGGAAATTGCTGAACATGTGGTGAGGTGAAAATTTTTTGTAACGGCTGGATATGGGCCAATAAAAAAATATAAAAACAAACTATGCGAAAATAATTATTTCCTATCCGAAAAATCATCTGTTTTTGATAATATGTATGGAGAATTCTTCCGATATCGAGAAAAAGCTGTTGAAATTGCGATCTCGTTCATAATTGATATGTTTTCGTCCTGGTTCGTCCATTTTTAATATGTTTACCACAACAGTATTGCTTTCTAAGACGACAAGCGGAAAATACCATCCAGTTAATGCTATACCTTTTGCGAAAGAAGTCGTGAAATATTATGGAAGTAGAAAACAACGGAACTACCACCATAAATGCTTCAGTTACTGAAGCGTACGTTGCTTCTGCTTATAATCTGAATCAAGAAGATAGTAACTGGATTGTGACGAATTCCTTCATAATCTTTACTATGCAAACGGGTAAAGTCCAAAAATTAGACGACGTTGAGGAGTACAACAATTTTTATTACTTCGTTTACTTAGGTTTCGGTATGTTAGAGTCTGGATGTGTCTCCTTAAAGAATGAAGTTAACATTATGATGAAGAATGTGGTAGATATAGTACTCGGTGGTTTAACTTATTGGGCATTTGGTTTTGCAATGAGCTTTGGATCAGACAGGCTGAATAATCCTTTCATCGGTATGGGAGAATTTTTAATGGATCCTTCGTTAGACGATAAATTTATGGGACCAAAATGTGCCGCATTTTTGTTCCAATTAAGCTTCGCTACTACTTCAACGACGATTGTTAGCGGTGCCATGGCAGAACGGTAATTATGCGAAGCAATAAATTATGTTTTGTCACTTTACTTAGACTCGGTATGATTCCAGATGCAATTTCAAAGCATATTGTCTATTTTCATTCTTAAACACAATCGTGTATTGCGTACCAGCAGGATGGATATGGGGTGATCAAGGTTTCTTAAAAAATATGGGTGCTGTTGACATTGCTGGTTCAGGAGTAGTGCATCTTGTTGGTGGTACCTCTGGTAAACAGTTACCATCTTTATTTCGTCAAAAGAATTTATCAACAGGTGTTTTAAATACTAATTTATGGTAGCACTTGCATGTGCCATTATGTTGGGACCAAGACTAGGCAGATATGATAATGGAATTGACCCACTACCTCTTGGAAGTCCAGTCAATGCTATTATGGGCTTATTTGTACTTTGGTAAAAGAAATAATTAAACATTTTTCATTTACAACAGATTTGAATCATAAAATATATTAATAGACATTAATGATGTACAAGGTGGGGTTGGTTAGCTTTCAACAGTGGTAGTACATATGGTATCAGTGGTCAAAGATGGCAATATGCTGCTAGAGCAGCAGTTTCTACAATGCTAGCAAGTATGGGGGGTGGTTTAATTGGACTAGGTTTCAGCCTAAATAATCGAAATGGAATTGATATTCTAAGTCAAATAAATGGTATTCTTGGTGCATTGGTTGCAATTACAGGTGAGTTTTTTGTATTAACAATAGCTTTACAGAGTCAGTTAGGTGGTTGTTTTCTTTTCAGAGCCTGGGAGGCCATAACTGTTGGAATGATCGGTGCTTCTATTACATGTTTTGCAATGCCAATGTTAGATAAGATGCATATTGATGATCCTGTTGGAGCCAGTGCAACACATGGTTCCAGCCTCTGTTTTTATTCCTATTCATTTATTCTCTGTGCACACCTAGTCTTAATTATTTTTCCCTTGATACAGGTGCAAGTGGAATTTGGGGTATTATTGCCATTGGTTTATTTGCAGACAATCCACATCCCCTTAATACCACCAGTGGAAGAAAAGGATTATTCAAGGGTTTGCAATTATATCTTCATTTTGCTACATGATTAGATTTCACAAAAAAATGTTAATTTTTACAGGAGGAGGATGGTATTTGTTAGGTGTGCAATGTTTTGTAGTTGTATGCCTAGCAGTTTGGAGTTTTACAACATCTATTACTTTATTATGGGTAGTGTGAACGAAATATTATTCAAAGCACACTGTCTTTGTTGAAAATACTTATTTAAGTTGGCATCCCACTTTTTTAGGTCATAAATAAAATTATACCAATTAGAATGAGCGTTCACGATGAGCTTCTTGGCGCTGATCTGGTGGAACATCGAATACGACATATGCAGGTTTTTATTTTAACCATTACATGATCATAATTAAAAAAATTCTGTACATTACAAAATACGATATGTATATTACTAGATTGGAGTAAGTAGAGCCATGTCTGCTCTTTGTCCAGTTTCGCAAGAACACGAATTAGCAAAGGTGCATCCTGTGGGAATAAATCCTGGTAAGATACATTCGATTGAAAAATATTGCTCGATTGACTATACACAGTTCGACTTGCAATAGGTCACGATTCCTACGTTGAAAAATACTGTCGTAAAAATTACTTGAAGCACGGAAAAAAGTTTACTCTCGGTACGAAGCTATCAAGGAGTCCTCAAATGAATACAATTACCGACGCTGTACTAACCGGTAGAAGTAAGCCAAATTTCGCCTGGCTGGAATAGTGTTTTTAAATGCCTTTTAACGATATCTCAATCGTAAATTTATTAGAAATGTATAAACGTATTCACGTCCATATTCTAACGCTTTCACACGTTACCGTGACACCGTACAATGTACACGCATACTCTGATAAATAATTAAAATCTTAAACAACTACGCAAATGAGAATTATGGTTGCTAGTGTATAGGGAACAATCCTGTTGAAAGATCACAGACATAGTAAATACGTATAATATATCTTGATTAATAGCATGGCACATATACAGAAATCTCTTTCTTTATTATAGTTAAGTTTCAGATAAAATATTGTTATGAAAAGTTATTTGTCGCCCTTATTTATTAAGGACGTAATATCGGACGTTTCATTATGCTACGCGATAGGCAGGAATTGATGTCTGAAGACTGTATTGTATAGACAATCAGAAAATAACAATTCCTCATTTCTTTCACCTTATTCAATATTACCAAATATTAAATCTATTTACACACTTATGATAATCTCTTATTGTAAATGCAAGCTGCGATCTTTCGTGTATGATATCGCGTGAATTAGTTGAATATCGTAGTGTTTAGAAAATACTCGATATTTTTTTCTTTTTCTTTTTTTTTCTTTTTTTTTAATACTAAGTACGCCAGTATATATGTATAACTTTATATATGTAAAAACATATACCTTTGAAATGAACACACATTTAAAACGCCTGTATAAAATATAATATAGGAAACGAAATTCTGCCCTCTTTAATAAATAATTATAATGAAGTGGCTTTTGAAAAAAACGAGTCTCCTACTTGTTCATAAAATACACGTTTTAAACCATCATTATTCCATGTTAGTCAAAGCCCATTGAGAGATTTCTGTGGGCAATCCAGAATAATTTTTCACAGCTTCCATGACTTGCTGTGATGTGAGTAAAAATTTATAATATTGATACTCTTTCTCAACTGTTGAATTTGTACCACTTGCTGGTAATAAGAACTCCAAATTCTGTGGAAATGATGTCCATGTTCTTACTACTTGAATAATATGCAATAACACTATTTCACTCCTACTTAACAATCCTTACCTTAATGTGTTCAAATGCCTTCATGATAACAGGCTTCTGAACAGTTTGTATAGAAGAATTTTGATTAGCAAATTTAATATAACGATCGTAAATTGCATCAAAATTAAACGGCTCCCCTTCATAAATGTCTGTTTCATGTTTCATTGCTATTATCTAAAAGAACAACATATTTTAAGAAATATGTTCATGCTAGAAAAAGAACGCTATAAGTACACTTACTAAACACATTTCTAATACGGACAATCCCTCAAGCATTATTACTTTATCATCTTGAGAAAACATTTTACTTGCTTCTACAAAATCAGAGACCTCTAATCTCTGATGCTTCTCTGATAATGTAGAAACAACAACTGCTAAGAAATTTCTAAAGCTTCTTTCACTTATATCAATTTGATACATTCTTTTTAACAAATTTATCATAGTGGCATTGCTAACTAATGTTTTAATATAATCATTCCACACAGATCCAAACTGTGGATCTATTGTACAGTCATCATATTGCTGTTCTATCCTATTTACATTCTCATCATCAGGAAGACTAAGTAGATGTTGGAAAAGTTCTAAGCGATCATTAAAGGCAGATGTTGGTTGTTCTGAGGATGATGTATCCCCAGGAAACAGAAATATTTGCCTATGAGAAAATCTTGATTTAACTCTTTTTTCTAAAAGTTCTATAACATCCAATCTACAAGTCATTCCTATTACACATATCGGTGCCTAAGAAGATTAAAGCTTAATTAAATGATAATCAATCTAAGATTAATGCAAGGGTTTAATCTACACTTACTTGTGCAGACTGAGCAATGTCAAACAAATTATACAACAGAGTCTGATTGTGGTGTTCACAAAACAAGTCAAATTCATCTAATATAAAAATAACTGGTTTCGAATGCTTCTTGTCACCAGACTTTAGACATTCAAGGAGGAAAGTTAAATTTTCTGCAAATGTACCAAACACTTTATCACCAACCACATTTTCTAGTTGCATCTGACGAGTGGCATCCTTTAGAGCCAAACGATCATCAGTATGAACAAGACCATGAAGATTCACTATCAATGTATTATCTTTGAAATTTTTCATAGATGACAATTCTTTTAAAACACTGTTTATTAACTAAAAGAATAAAAGTCTATATAAATAAACTACAAAGGTGTAATGGATTCTTTTTTTACTAAAACTAATAATTTAAACATACTGTTGTTTTTCCACTACCCCTAGGTCCAATTAACAAAGCAGAATTACTTTCACCCATTTCTACTGTTCTTTTTAACAGTTCCAATATATGCAGTCTTTCTTTAACATGATGTCTGAACTTTGTTTCAGGGCACATTATCTTACGTTTTAAATATTTCCTCGTTAGCAGTATCATATTGTCTTGAAAATCAATTGCCATATTTTTTTTATTATTCATATTGACTTCTCTGAAACGCGCCAAAAATTTCTCGTTAATTTCTCTTCGAGGAACTTTTTCTTATGTGATTTAACACAGATTAGGATAATAAATCTGCATATCTTCTTATCTAACGGAACTATTTCATTTACGCTTTCGTTCGATGTTGAAATTTCTTTTAATTCTATCAAGCTACGATTTGACTCAATCATGTAGCGTCTCTGATTAGTCAAATATAACCTATTAATTTTAGAAAAAGACACGTATAATACCTTTGGAACGTACTTGCTCGAAAGTTTCACTCGTTTAAGTGAATTCAATATCGTATGGCTGAGCAGAAATTCGGAATATTTACTTGTACAGATTCTCAAATGGTCGATAAATATTAAATCTCCAAGTTAGAAAATCACTGGAACCAGGTTGTTTACAAAACAAATATGGAAGACGCAGAAGCCAAAACAGACAAGAAAAATTGCACGTTTTTATTTAAAAGAAGAAAAAATCGAAGTGCGGCTAGAAAACGTAAAACAGCACATGACGAAGAGGGTAAGTATGTTGAAGTAACGTTAGATTTTCCATTTGGTTACAGTAGACCGTAATTTCATTATTTAAACTCGATTAGCATCCTTTATAGGTTAGGTTTAACGTACGTAAATATTAACTTATTTGTTGTGCTTACATTCGTAACAGAGAGCAGCGAGGATGAAACTACGGTAGTAAAGAAGGAGAAGAAGCAAGATGATCACAATCCTATGAAACAAAGCGTACGTATCAGTCAGAACCACGCGATCCGTGTTAACAAATAACTTTATGTCCAAACAAATTGGAGTTTTATCAAACATGGAAACTTTTTATAAATACAGTGCTTTACAGACTAATACAAGAAGATTTAAGGATCAAAGGAAAGAGATTAATCATGATAGTAGCGAGGAGGAAGGTATTACAGTTTCTTATAAAAGCTCCAGGACTCCTATGCCAGCAGGGCCAAGTGATCAAGGAGCAACAGCAGTGTTAGAGACAGAGACAGAGAAAGACAAGGATGCTCAAGCTTTGTTTGAAAAGGCTCAAAAAATAAACGAAGTACATAGATAAAGATATTAAAGTAAAATAATATCTAAAAGTGGAACAATGTTATACATAATATAACAATATGTTTTCAGGAACTGGAAGGAAAAGAAGATGATAAAATTTACAGAGGCTTGAACAATTATGCTCAATATTATAAGAAAAAGGACACAGCTGCTGGAAATGCCTCCAGTGGTATGGTACGTAAAGGACCTATCAGAGCACCATCTAACCTCAGAGCAACAGTTAGGTGGGACTATCAACCAGATATATGTAAAGATTACAAGGAAACTGGTTTCTGTGGTTTTGGAGGTGAATAGAATTAAAACGATTTCAATCAGAAGAACATTTGTCTATTTATCTTCACTTACAAGTACAATTTCGTTTCTAGATAGCTGTAAATTTCTTCACGATCGTTCGGACTACAAATTAGGCTGGCAATTGGAAAGAGAAGCGGCCACAGGAGAGTACAATAACAGTGGAGACGAGGATGACAAGAAATACGAGATAAATAGCGACGAAGAAACATTGCCGTTCAAATGTTTCATATGCCGGAATAGTTTTACGGATCCTGTGATTACGAAGTACATACATTTATATTCTTAAGGATAGGCAGTTTCTAGTGGAACAGAATATACACGTGAAATATTTTCTTTTTCAGATGCAAGCATTATTTCTGCGAGAAATGCGCCCTAGAGCAGTACAAGAAGAGCACAAGGTGTTACATATGCAACGTACAAACGAACGGCGTGTTCAATCCAGCCAAAGAGCTGATTGCACGGACAAAAATGGAAGAGAAGGCGAATGCAGTCGAGGACGATGAACTTTCTGACAATTAATAAAGCATATATTTTTATCCCTGACAAAGTAGTGTTTTCTACCAAACGATGGCAATTATTTCAAATATAAATCACGATCCTACTGCGCATACCGTTATACCGAAATCCTCTTATCTCCAATCTCTGCTAAACGAATTACGTCGAAAAGAAAAATCATCCCGTATAACAAGATCCTCTTCCGAATAGACCCGTTCCAATGAATTTTAAAGTCAGTTTACAGAGAACGCTCGAACAGAGAGAATCCATATTTTGAAGCCAGTTCACGGAGAACGTTAATAATAACTTGGTGAGAAAGAATGAGATGGAAGGCAAGATGGGTCGACAACCCTTGCTAGCAAAGGGTCTAGATTTGGAAGATACCGTCTATGAGCCGTTCCACAAACACCCGAGTCGAGTTGACGTCGCTCGGAGGGGAGGTATATAGTGGTGGTTCGCTATATAGGGCGAAGGTGATTCTAACGGCACGTAGTTGTTCCCTCAATCGATACACGCGCAGTGTTGTTTGCCTCATACTATGAAAATGTTACCGAGCTGCTCGCTTTTCACGGGCATTCAGACAACGCCTGAGACCGAGCTACCAACGTCACACGATTATTTCAACGAAATATAAAGCCGGCCGATCTGCTGAGACTCGTGAGAAATTGCCAAGTGGTCGTCGAAATAAAACGGTGTGTCAGTAGTTGGAGAGAAAGAGAGATCCAGAGAAAGAGACAGAGAGAGAGTGGTTCGAGGGTTCTTCTGTCCACGGCTCACCGTCCCTTCATTGATTTCTAAGACACGCCGCGCGCAAAAAACCCGGAGGTGCAACGTGATTATTGCATCGACGAGAAATAATCAACGTGAGAAAAGTGTGCGTTACCGGTGATTAATCGGATGAACAGACGAGACAGATCAGAGAGAGATAGAGAGCTGTATATGTATACGTTCTTTTTCCCTTTGAATTTATCCGTAAGAGGAAGGTCCGTTGAAGACTACCGGCTGGATGGAGCAACGTTACGTTAATGGAGTGGCACGAGATCCTAATCGAGTTACAACCAGCCAAGTGTGATTCATTTCCGACTAAATGAGATATCCAACGATCGTTCCTTCTGGAGCCGATCCACGGCTATATCATCGTGCCATTAGGTGCAAGCTGTGACACGACGAAGAGTCATTGTCGTTGACAACTGTCGCCACGGTTTCCTGAATACATTCTCTCGTGTGATTGTACCAAGTTTTATCTCCGAATAATAACCATCGATAACAAAATAAGGGATAATCGATAAACCGACGATCGAGCTTGATGCCTTTCAACGAGCCTGTGAATTCTCATCAACGACACACCTAATCTGAAAATTAACGGTGTTCGTCATCATTCAGAAGGTGTTACGTTTCGCGGAGATCTTCCGTTTAAACCAGGTAGGGTTATTTTAATACATCGTGGACAGCCGGTCTCGTTCAAACGTACAATCACGCGTGTTTCTTCGTGCCTATGTGCCTGTCTCCTAATTAGCGGTAATCGCCGATTAAACACAGTTATCATGCGCGCAGTACACCGAATGCGTATACAGTCTGTCACGCAGCAGCAAAAAATTTCTCTATCGCTGTAGAAAAAGATTAAATGTAAAGAGATATTACGCGTTTGTTTAGTACCATCTATTAAAGCTTGGCAATAACTATGCACGCGTTCTAGTCATTTTTTCCGATTAATTCGATCGTTTGGAAAGAATTCGCTTCGTCTGAAAAAGAACACGCGTATCGAGGATTTGTATCACTCGTCTCTTTGTGTAAATACCGCCTGTACCCTGTTGGTATGATCAGTCAAACATACAGTCATGCAACTGTGGTTGCGCACGTCGTTTCCACGCGAAACGTAGAGCACGGGCAGGCAGGCAGGGTGTTTGCGTGAGTCAAGAGTCTCGCGTATGGCCCCCGGCGAGAACAGTCTCCCGCGTACAATTTCCACAATTTCCTCGTTATTACGCGCGATACGCGTCGCGACGGATATATATATATATATACACCGAGGACCAGTGCACTTGGCGATACGTCAGCGACAACGCAGCCACGTGCAGATAGAACGACGTTCATGCAACCGTGACCACGCGATACCATTTTGTCGGAAGTGTAGATGCATACATTCGAATATAATAACGCACGCAAGAACCTAGTTCACAGGTTTTTCTTTCATCGACGTACATGTAGTGTCGGTAAGATAATCAAACGAGAACATTTCATTGCATTTTCTGCAACACTTATCGCGGCAAGTGTTGACAAATATTTATCTTTCACGGAACATCCACGTAATCTACGCGTCGGTAACTTCCTACTGTATACAACAGGCTTTATCGTTCGGTGATTTCACAGGAGGCATATCGCGCGATAATTGTACCTCGTCGAAGCGTTTCAATAATCGCATCGATCAAGAGACGATCGGGCAGACGCGTTTCAAGAGCGCAGCTATTATCTCATCGACCGAATGATCATCGGCTGCACGGGAACATTATTATGCGAATACATATTATCGTTTCACAGCGATTACGTTGTTCGTTGTATCTACTACGTACAGAAAAGTTTCGAACCACCTGCTAATTTACAATCGATATCGAATCTCCTATTAATTCTTTATACATTTGAAATTAAAGTTGCTGCAAACTTTTTTCGTCTTACCCGCGACGCACATTGATCGCAAACTTTGATCGAACAGTGAAGAAATAGAAATTAATATTCACCAAGCGCAAAGTTTCACAGTGATCAGATCTATATTCGTAATGAATGTTTTAGCCTCTCTTGATTCCCGGAATCACTAAAAATAAGTATGCCGCTAAAGTTGACGATACATGTCGATGCTTGACACGCGCGCTCTCATATGTGTGTGCGTATAATAAGTATGCAAGTTGCAGAAATTCTTTCTCGCTTTCTCATCCCTGTTAATTTGTTCTCTTTGACGAGCAACGTGAATGGATGTAACGTATCCATGTATACGAGAAGAGGAAAAGTAAAGTCGTGGGCCGGAAAATATGTATAGAGAATGTTTTATGCAGGTGGGAAAGAAGGGGAAAATGTGGTGAAAGAGACGGTACAAAAGGGTCGCGGAAACAAAGTTTGTTATAGTTAACGCGACAGTGGTCGACGTTGACGCAACGCTGTCACGTGTAGTTGTGTATATTTAAATAAAGCTACGTGTAGCTCGCTATCTACGCGCGCCTCGTAGGCGTTCATAATCGAAGCTGTACTACGAGTGAACCGCGAGGATCGATAAATTAGCGTGTGTATAGAACCGACTGTACCGGCCGCTCGAAGCTCGTTAGCCGTGATATAATAAAATGCACGCTTCGATGCGACTTGCAGTGACGTAGACGGGTTGACGTTGCAAGATAAGCGCGGTATTACGTATGCGAAATAATTCTATGGAAGTTTGTTTTTGAAACTTCTCGGTGAAACATTGGCAAATCTCACTCTCTCTCTCTCTCTCTCTCTCCTTTGCGACGAGATATACTTTTATGACGAAAAAAAGAGAGTTCTCTTGCCAATTGTTCACAATGGTTAAGTAGATTAATCATTTTCTCTTTTACGGTCCTATGTCGAATCAGACAGGAATTTTTGCCTTCAGATATCCTACAATGATAAATTATAAATTATAAATGATAATAAATCATTTTTCTATGCGTTAATATTATATTGAAACTTCATATTTTGTAACTAATATTACGTTGAAATAAGTGGCCAAACGAGCGTGAACTAACTGGACTATTCGGACCGCAAAGGTTTAATATAGGGGACAACGCTTTTCAACCTTAACCTGCTAAAAAACTGTCTTCACTTCTCTCTGCTTTTTAATTAGAAATTAGTAAAAATTCTAACCAGTTACTTCATTTTGGTTCCTGCAGGCATAACGATAAGTAAATTATTATAGGTTCAAAATAAACATGAAAACTGAAATAGTAATAGTAGAAATGTTGTAAATTGCATTAATCGACGAATATCATTACCTTTAGACGCGGTTAGAAAAGCGTTGGGAAGATGAAAGAAGTTTTAAGGATTCGTAGACTTACGTTCAGACGACCGATGACGCCATTCCTGTTGATCCAGCTGATCCAGTGTCGTAAAGGGGTTGACGTTCGACGATGATTGCAGATGGTGTGTGGCAGTGATGCCCTCGTCGGAGGAGGAAAGCCAGTGGCTCGTTGGCAGCGGGGGTGGTCTCGCATCTTCCGGCGGTGGCACGATATCCGGGCCTGGAGAACGCACGCTAAGCATTAGAGGAGGATTATACACGGAGGAGATGACGACTCAACCGACTAACACAGCCACAGCAGGCGTGAATGCGGCCTCGGCCGATTCTGCCGAACACGATTTGATCGACTCGACAACCGACGCCACTCTATTAGCACAATTTCACGAGGACGCGATCAAGCAGGTTCGTTTCCCTGCATTTTACAACTATTTACAACTATCTCGAATTATTTTCAACGGTCCAGAAAGACCGGGAACCATTTTCAATACGATGGCGTCCATGCTAAAACTGGTTAAAACCGCTTCGTCTTTGGCCGGTTCATTTTTATATTACATTTATGCCGATTGTGGAATCTTTCGCCGAATTCCCGATTAAAAGTCTTCTTTTCGAGGAGAAAAAGTCACTTTGTGGTAAATTAGACGAGTAGAAATCTTACCTCGTATAATGTTGGTCTTCTGTCAAGAGCTGCCTGTTCTTGATTAAAGATATTTCACGTAATATTACTGGCACTAGTTTGAATTACCACTCTACTCGATGCTCACATCACTTATTGACAACTTTGATCACTTTTATGCACACTGAAAAGACTAAAACCACAAAAAAAAAGTCGCGAAATTCGAGTAGGTTATACCAACGCCTATACTATTCCAAAGACTCCTACGCAATTAAAAATTTGAATTAATATCGCAAGCAGTTGCGATTATCGAAATATATCGAACTATCGATAGCCTGTAAACTGATTCGATTGTTTCATCGAAGGAGAATTTTTATGTCATACTTTCATCAATAATGGAATATTTCATTGAATTTCCAATGTAAAGTCTTTCTTCGAAGAAGGGAACAATTTTTTGATAATGTGAGATGAAAATCTTACTATCTAATCTAGTATGACAGTGGTGTTTACGATCTGGTAGTGTCTCTTCTTGGTTCAAGATATTTTGCATCATTTTGTTAGCATCCTATTCAATTATTATTCTACTCAATATTCACTTCAGTTATTGACAATGGCGATCTCTTTTATTCACACTGAAGACACTAGAACCTTTACTATTCCAAAGACTCCTACGCAACTAAAGTTTTGAATTAGAATCGCAAGCAATTGCGACTATCGATTTATGTGTGTCACACTATCGATTATAGATCGATTATTTTCAGAATGCTTTAACAAGCGCGAAGCGACTTGCAGGCCAATGGGCTTATACAAATTTGAAATCTGTATTTACATTGGCTACCGTGCTCCTTTGGACACATTGAAATAAAATATTCAACTTTTGTCAATCGAACAACAAAAACATAACCTATAGTAAATGGCGTCCTTTTTAGCCAAGTTATTTCTTTTAGCAGTTTAATTAATTCATTCCTGCCAGTGTTTCAAGTCATTCAGCATTTCAACATGGACGAGGTTTTAGACGAATCGATTGTAAAAACGAAATACGAGTCGCGAGAGATACCAAGCTATCTGAATGACTTCCCAGTAAATACCTTTATTTTCCATCATTTCTTTTGAGGTTACAACTGTAGTTTCGCAAAATATAAATATTGTTATAGTTATTCGATAGTTATTCGAGTTATTCGAATGAATTATACGCGATAAAAAATACTAAAAAAGGATTAGACATTTATTGTTTCGTGTTGTACTGCTTACATGTTTATACATCATCATTGTTGAATATGTTTTAGGCTGGAGTTGGTTACTTCCAAGTATTAGCTGCTTTGTGTACAGGCTTGAGTCTTGCAGCAGATACTGTTGAATTTTTTGTTGTACCATATATTTTACCAAGTGCAGAAGTTGAATTGTGCATTGAGGACAATGAGAAAGGATGGCTCAGTTAGTTTTCTTGATTTAATACTTCTTATTATGCTCTTACTTCCAAGTTGTTTTGTCATGTTATTGTGTTATAGGCAATATTACTCTAATGGGTCTTGCGTTAGGTGGATTATTCTGGGGTGGCTTAGGTGACAGAATTGGAAGACGCAGATCTTTGTTATCTGCAATGTCTGTTCATGCTTTATTTAGTAGTGTTGCCACTTTTATGCCAACTTATGGCACATTTATGTGTGCTAGATTTTGTTCTGCGATTGGGTAAGAAATTCCTTTTTCTTCTTCCCTTTTATTCATATGTGATTTAAATTTACATTAAGTAAACTGCATAATCTATTATTTCATCACAGAGTAGGAGGATCTTTACCACTAGCATTTGCATATCTCGCAGAGTGTTGCCCCAGATTAAGCAGAGGTTTGTGGGTTGGTTTGCTAGTAGCAGCAGGAGCATTAGGAGGTGTGTATGCTGCTCTCCTAGCATGGGTAGTGGTTCCTACAACTGGAGAAATGGTAGTTCTTGAAAATAAAGAACACTTCAGTGCTTGGCACCGCTTCCTGTTACTGTGTTGCTTGCCTGCATTGTGCTCTACTATTGGACTCATTTTTCTACCAGAAAGTCCAAGGTACTTGGTAGAAGCAGGTAGGGATGTGGAAGCAATGATGGTTTATCAGGTATTTTCTCATATTTATGCATTTAATTAAGATAATATCGTTTCTTCCGTTGTTATATCAAAATTAATCTATAACTCTAGAAAATATACAAGAAAAATAACGCCCGCAAAGGCGCAACAGGTGCACAGTATCAACTTTCTGAATTAGAGCTTCCAACTAAAAGGCCCCGTGGTTTGGCACCCCCTTCTCCTACTAATCACACTAGCGTTTTGGCTGATATTATTTATTCTATCGAAATGGTAGGAATATATATCCTTATTTATGTTTGTAAAGACTGGTGCTTAGTTTTCATTAAATTTCTAGTTTTGGAATTCTTTCCTGGAATTATTTGTATCGCCCCATTTGCGCGTTACAATAGTGCTTATAATCATTTGGTCGACCGTATCATTTGGGTACGTATTCGCGTTAAACATTTCAGTCATTTTTCGTTTCATATTCTCATTTGTTTATTTAATTGTAGACTATATGGCCTTATGGTTTGGTGTCCTGAATACCTCAAACTTTTACGCGCCACGGAATATAAAGCTCACACTGTACACATTTCCGGAAAAGAATACAAAGGAAAAACATTCAGTGGTTCTTTAGAAAATTGTCAATACAAGCATTCAATTTTCTTAAATTGCAAGTAAGTAGATATATGAACAGGTGTGCAAAGCAATACTCGATTAGATTATATAAAAGTATTTCTGTTTCAGATTTACAAAAATGGTATTCAGTCACGTAGATTTCGATAATTGTACTTTTCAATCCGTAGAATTCAGTAGCATAAAGTCTAGTAAAACTCACTTTACAGACAGTGTTATTAAATACTCGACGTATGTATTTGGGATAAAAATATCTGACAATATCTTTTTCAAAACGTAAAATACATTTTCGCCTATCGTTTATAGATTTGTAGATACGGATTTATCTGCGCAAGTCTTTACGAGATGTACACTGCAAAATAATACGGAATTAAGTTTAAGTGGACCATGTCCGACTCTCGATTTGGATTACAATATTTATATAGAGGAAGCACTACATGGTCACCTAGTTGCTCAATTGGCCTTTGTGCCTGCTGCTGCTTTAGCAGGACTGGCACTCACTGTAATTCAGCGGCCAAAAATGATTGGTATTTCGTTATTTCTCTCGTCAATATCTGCTCTGTGTTTAATTCTAGTGGGTACGAATAGTTCGGCAGTGCTTGGTTTCGAAGGTGGTTTTATAGCAGTCTTCGCCGTCGCTTGGACGTCGCTTACTTTGGTTACAGTTGAGAGCTTCCCTACTCATTTAAGGTAAATTTCTCTGCAACTTTCTCTGTTGGTTTTCACTAAACTTCTTTGATATGAAAAATATTACTGTGAGGTACATTCATTTCCACAGGTGTACTGGATTCGGTTTTATAGCGGCTGCTATAAGGATATGTGGTTTAATAGGAACTACAACTTACAAAACCTTAGTTGGCGCACCCTTAGTCGCGCCTGCACTGTTAACTGCATTACCATTGCTAATAGCTAGTGTCGCAACATTCAAATTGCCTCACACGCATACAGTTTTCTTGTAAGGATATCGCGACTAAGTGGAAAAGAACAGAGAAGAGAGAGAGAGAGAGAGAGAGAGAGAGAGAGAGAGAGAGAGAGAGATATGTCGTATAAAAGACATTTTTAATCTATATTTTAATGAATCACTTATGAACTTCGCTGATGTTTTTACTCGATATATTCTCATGATACGAAACAAATTTCAAGATACGTCTTGAAATCCGAGAGATCAGTTTCCACTAGGAAGGTTTGAACGAAAATTGCAAGTGAAGTGTTTCAGACAAGTGCGAATCTTTAAATTTGCAAATTTAACAAGTAATAGTTACGTTTTTTTTCTTGGAAGTGTGACTTCGTACAAAGTGACATATCCTAAACTAGTAACTGGAATAATAAGTCGCGGTTTGCGTAAAAAAATTGAAGTATTTAAAGCGCACAGGGATTAAAGAGTAACCGTCTCGTACGCTAGGATATGGACTTTCTATAAGATTTTAATACATGTGTTTTATGCGTCGGAAGTTATTAAAGCAGACAGATGTTAAAAGAAAAGACGATCGACGTATTGAGATTTAATATCTGAGTCATCTTACCGAAATTTCACGCAAAACTTATACTCCAAGATTTCACTCCATCTAATAATTTCAAATCTAATACAAGTCATTATACGACTCGTTCTCGATTAGATAAAAGTCGTACAATGCATATACGTTTATAATGCTATTTTAACAGGGCAATAGCCACGAAACGTGTCAATTTTAATGGATGTTTAAAAAGGATGGATATTGTCATCCATAATGATACGTGAACGCATAACAAAAATATTAAACCGCTAAAAAATTTTGCTTACTGAAAATGCATTTGAATATTTGAGATAGAAAAAAATGTGGAATGTTATTCATAGTGTATAGATGTCTTTTTCTGTTTATAATTAGACTAGACAGATCATGCATGATTCCAAAATTACTACGTTTTAAGCAATTCAGTCGAAAAAGTTTGCCAAGGACAGTATCGTGGAAATTTTTATATTTACGATTGCTACATACGCTTTTGCCATTTGAAAAATTAAATATATACATATATTATATTCTAAGGGAATAGGTAGGGAACCTCGAATCGAGTAATAATGGACTTTCTACTGTGAAAGGAAAGTAATCGAGCAAAAATATATTCGGTACTTCTGCTTTTTAACGATTTGACAGCTTGCATTCATCCTAGACACTAGACTCAGCTAACTAAGAGGCATTATCCACGCAGTGAGAAGTGTAAATGCTGCCGTAAAAATCCTAAATTCCCCGAAACTAAAGACTTAGAATTGTCAAGTAGAAGTTTTAGCTTCGTTTATTATAAATCCAAGAGATTATCGCCTCTAGTCAACTTTTAGTCGTCTTTAAGCTTACAAAATGCGAATGAACTTCAAAAAATGCATCAGACTTTCTAACACTTGTGAATGAAGTAGATGACATTATTTTCTACAAGATCAAGGATGTACACTGTCATCGTAACTGTAAAAGTCGCTAATTACATTTAACGAGAAATTTTGCTAGAATTTTAGTGTCATCGTGGGAAAGAAGCTGCGACGACATGCCAAAGCTGAAAAGAAAAATACTGGTTCCTCAGAACGGATGACTATTTTTAGGCAATAAGAGCGTAAAATAAGTTTTACGACATGATTATCGAGATATTTCATTCTTATTGAAACTTAATACATATTACTAACTATTTAAGGAAGTTTATTAGTAAAGTAAAGATAAACTGCTGTTGGCAAACTTAATCACATAAAAGTCTACGTCCCGTCATGGTTAGTGAATTTTTCATATCAATTGTTGGCATCTAATTTAAAAATACCAAAAAAAGAAAATGTTAATGTTATGGACTGAATGCTACTAGTATCGTTTAAAAAGAAGTAGAAACGAGTCAAAATTTCATTGGTCGCACAAGTTTTCGTGTAATAATCCTATTTTGTAATGTAAAACAACAACAACAACGTGGTGGCTTTAGTATCTAAAAAATGCTGCTCGTTCCTACTTCCGCAAGCTGTATTTGGTAGTGAATTTGAACTTGTTAGTGAAACAAGCTTGTGCTGGCGTTGTAATATGTGAAAATTATTATCAACACATGTAATTTTCTCCTTCCTTTCTTTTCGGAAAACAATAGACGCAAATTTTTTGTAGTTAAGTATTCGACGATATTAAATTGTTGTTTAAGTCTTACTTGAATTCGGGACCACATAGTACAATATTTTGTTGAAAAGATCGCCGGCACATGCAGTTCCACACGATTAAATCATGCTGCTACAGCATTAAATTCATCGTCGCCCGTAGATAATATATTTTACTCGACATATCACTTATGAGCGAGCACTTTAGATTCGTAGGCTTTAATTAGACTATCAACTAAACATATATAGAAAGGTGTACCAGAAATCATAAGAGGTGAAATTCCAAGTTGGTGAAGTAGTGGTGTGCATGTACAGTGAAATTGCTAAGTTGCCTGTAAGAATGGAAATTTCGTTTAGCAAATTTTAATTGATCAATTATGACGAATGCTTTGGTTGTACACGGATCGATTATCAGCAGATCAAACAATGTAACTGCGACAAATAGTGTTTTAACAACATGAAAAATACTCATGAAAGTTACTCAAGTGACATTTAGTGCAATGTTATACTTTTTAAGTATAAATTTGATTTTTATCTCAAGAAAAACAAGTGCACAAGTATAGGCGAACCTTTTTTCTCTTTACAGAGGACTGATTTTACATAAATGCTCAGATAATTAAAATTACACTATTTGGAATAATTAGAGAAGTATTTGTTCTAATAACTTTATTAATTAGCAAGACATCTGACCCTCTAATAGTTCCAGTGTGTTATGTGATAGTGTTATTATCACAATCTGCATTATTTCTTTTTTATGCGCACTGAATCTTTGTTTTTTTCTTCCTCCTTTAAGTAGTGCATTTTGTACAAACTGAAGATAAGGATCAGTTGATAATCACCGTATTTATTTTGTTTTTACTTTGTAGAGACTGTTTCTTAACATCTAAATTTGTAATATTTAATTCATTACAAAGATAAAAGTGTATTGTATGGTAATAGGAAGAAAGAAATTCAAGTTTTTTAAGACTCCTATTGCATTTTCTATCAAATAATTTTCATGATGTTTCAATATCTTAGGCACTTGATCCCATTTCAGAGTAAAACAATTGCAATTTTTATTCTCACTTTTGAAAGGAAAAAAAAAACCATCCTGCCAAAATTGCAGATACGATGTTTATATAAGGCACCTTCGAATGTGTACACTACTCTAAAATTAGTAAATGCTGGAAGGAACATTAATTACAAAAACATTTTCGTTTTATATAACTCATTAACATGTTTATAATTGGTCTGGTGGTCGCATTTTGAAACATTACTGTTAATGAAAAACAACGTTTAACAAATTATGCAACCAGTACTTAAAAAAAATATCATGTTATTTGTTAATACAGCGAATCATTAAAAAATATTAATTTGAAAAATTAACGAGAGTATTGTGTGCTGTTGCAAGAACATTCAGTCGATTTAATAGGGAATATTAATTATAAGATAGACACACAGTACTGAAACAATTTTTTTTAAACGTTTGATCGATTGTATTAAAAATGAATTTCCCTTTCTCTTTGTTTCACATTATACAAAATAGCTCTTTCCTTAGCATATACAAGCTTAGTATTCAACCTTTTGTATATGAGAAACAGTTAACCTCGATGCAATAAGTATTACATTAGACATAAAAAGGTACATGTATTAAGAAACTTTGATATTTGGATTGCTGTTTTGAGAATTATTTAGATCAGTGATAAAAGACCACTTGTATAACTTTTAAGACGCTTCTGAGAGCTTGTTTTTCGAATGTGACAATGGCTGCTGTTTTTTGAATAGCTTTTTTTCGAGGGACCCAAGAAAAACAGGATACAAAAGAATAGAATGATTCGATGCTTCGTATGAGAATTGGTTAATTTGTATTAAAGCAATATACGTACGTAAAGAAAAGAAACTGTTGGAACGATTGCAATTATAGTTTTAGGTATATATATTTATCTCGCAATACTTTTAGAGCACTCATTTTATGATACAAATTTGTATATAATTTGTAAGGAAAAAATCTGCAAACTATTGCAAATTTCATGGCAATATGTAGTAAATTATTCGTAATATTAACTGTCATATAATTATCATTGTTGTTGACGGCATATTATATCGATCAGTCTTTTGAATTGAATTCGATCTCTCGAACCTACAGCTTGTATACCGTAAAAAAGAAAAAAAACATACTTCGAGAGCATTTGAATATTTTGTTTTATATTGTCGACGAACGTAGAAGCATTTAGGATTGTTTAAAAGAAATCGTGCATTAATAACGTGCAGAGAAAATATTTTGACGCATCGATGCGAGCAGTTGCAATTCGAGAATCGAATTGGACAACCACTAACAGACACTATGTACTTTCCGACGATGTACTTTTATTCCATTGTAATTCTAACATTAATTAATCAAAAAAAGTCTGAGAATAGTCGAACAAAGTAATCTCAATTAATATTCTTCTGTAATCGCTCAGTTTTTTTAAGTTAGTAAAAAATTGATTTGAAGCACCTCGAATTAATCTATTATCGATACGTTACACCTCCTACTTGTTTCCTAAAGAATTAATTTCGTTATCATTCGAAAGAAACTGACAAAATGTTTATTCCATACATTTAACAAGTCAAATAAGAATTTTCTAATCGATCGATTGCAGGTGTAACGCAACGTGTCAAAACTATACGGCAAAATGTACGAGTGGAATAAATGAGATAAATTTATCGATTTGTTTAATCATATTTATCCAGTAATTACTTACCTCGTAAATGTCTGGGGGGGTGGTTTTCTTAAATTTTCAGAACCTTGGAACATTTCTACCAATAATTAAACAGTTTAAAGTTACAGGAATATTTGGCGGGAAATTGGAATAACTTTATACTCCGCCATATTTACCAATAGGTAAAGAAGAATCACCGTGTCGGTAAGAAGAATATTTCCTCCGGTAACTATTGCAATCTTTAAAGAAAACTACT